GTTTATGAGTTAAATTACTTTAAAGCCAAAATATCCGCCATCTTGAAACGTCATTGTTGCCATAACAACGGCAGTTGCGTAACTTTTGTGCAAAAATTCAAACTCTTTAGATGTTGTTTTACATATGTAAGGTACCTTTTGTTTATCAACAAGTAATTGTTGTCCAAAAATACGCATCTAAATCGTGAATTTCCATTTTTTTTAAAACTGTATTGAGCCACCTTAACACTTGTAGATTTTCGGACAAACCATGTGTCTAACATGTCCGGTTAATAATTACGATTAAATCAAATTAAGAATAGAACATACACATTTACCATAAAGTCGAACATGTTAGGCCACTTCAGTGCAAAACAACAAACACGCAAGCGTTTATTTCAGAAATCGGTGCTTTCCTGCTATGTGCATATTCTCATGTAAGGCAGTGAACTATGCTGCAACAAATAACTTGGGAAAGCGTGAAGAGAACTAACAAACGTAATTAATTTCTGACAATAAAATTTATGACTTTGGTCTTCGATATTTCTTTTATACTCAACAATATCGCAACAGCACTTTGATGCTTTTTTACACACGAACTTGATTTCTGACATCCCCCTAAAATTTGATACGAATCCTGGTTATAAATCGGCTCCCAGTTCCTATTTGTACAAATAGCCGGATTGCAGAATTTTCCAGGCCTGCTGAATGAAGAACTATCACCGAGATAATCTTAGTTATAAGTGTAGTTACATTACATACCTCCAGGCTTTCCAGGTCCTTTTGGAGCACCTGGCCCATTCGGTCCTCCAGGTCCTCCAGGACCTCCAGGTCCACCAGCACCTCCAGGTCCACCAGGTCCCCCAGGACTACCAGGTTGTCCAGGTCCACTGGGTACAGCAGGCCCACCAGGTCCTCCAGGTCCTCCTGGACCACCAGGACCTTTTGGGCCACCAGGACCACCAGGAGTTAATGGTCCACCTGGTCCACTAGGTCCACCTTGTCCACCAGGCCCACCAGGTCCTTTTGGTCCACCAGGACCTCCAGGACTCCCGGGTTGTCCAGGTCCACCAGGAATAGCAGGACCTCCAGATCCACCTGGTCCTCCTGGACCACCGGGACCTCCTGGCCCACCTGGTCCTCCTGGTCCTGTTGGACCGCCAGGTCCTCCAGGTCCTCCAGGTTTCCCAGGACCTCCTGCCGGGGTTGGACCGTTAGGGCCACCAGGTCCACCAGGACCACCAGGACCCTTTGGTCCACCTGGGCCATCAGGACCTCCTGGGCCACCAGGTCCACCCGGTCCTCCAGGTCCATGAGGTCCACCAGGCCCTGTAGGACCACCAGGTCCTCCTGGACCACCTGGTCCTCCAGGTCCACCATTCCCACCAGGACCACCAGGACCTTCAGGACTTCCAGGCTGACCAGGTTGAGCAGGCACTTTAGGCCCACCTGGGCCACCTGGACCTCCAGGGCCCCCAGGTCCACCTGGACCTCCTGGACCACCAGGTCCATCTGGTCCACCAGGTTTACCTGGGCCTCCAGGAGGAGTCGGTCCATTTGGACCACCAGGACCACTTGGACCGCCTGGACCGCCTGGTCCTCCTGGTCCACCGGGCGACAATGGTCCGTGTGGACCACCAGGGCCACCTGGTCCTTTTGGACCGCCAGGGCCACCAGGACCTCCTGGTCCTTGGGGTCCACCAGGTTGTCCGGGTCCTCCAGGTGGTGTCTTACCACCAGGTCCTCCAGGCCCTCCTGGACCACCTGGACCACCAGGTCCTCCAGGTCCACCAGGTCCTAGTGGTCCCCCAGGATTACCAGGTTGTGCTGGAGCAGATGGTGTTTCAGGTTTCCCTGTCGCTCCAGGACCACCTGGCCCACCAGGGCCACCTGGACCTCCTGGACCTTCTGGTTGGCCTGGACTGCCAGGTTTTCCTGGCCCACCAGGACCACCCGGCCCTCCAGGGCCACCAGGTCCTCCAGGACCCCCAGGCCCTCCTGGACTACCAGGTTGGCCCGGACCAGAGGGTACAACAGGTCCTCCTGGACCACCAGGTCCACCTGGACCACCCGGACCACCAGGTGCTCCAGGGTTTCCAGGTTTTCCAGGTCCACTGGGTGCTGCAGGACCATTTGGACCACCGGGTCCTCCTGGCCCACCAGGACCTCCTGGTGATCCTGGTCCTCCAGGTCCACCTGGACCATTTGGACCTTTTGGTCCACCAGGTCCTCCAGGCCCACCTGGTCCACCATTTCCACCAGGGCCACCAGGTCCACCTGGTCCGCCGGGACCACCGGGTCCACCAGGCCCGCCAGGGCCATTTGGTTGTCCAGGTCCTACAAGAAAAGCAGACATGAAATCAATTGTGAAAGATTCAGTAAAGTACCATTATGGCCTGTTTACACTTGCAATTTTCACTGCGATTTCTACGGCGATTTTTTGAAATCTCCAATGTAAACATCCTGCGATTTTGAATGCAACTTTGGTGTGACAACACTGCAATTTGAAGCGATTTTCCCATTTTACTGGCTTGTATACTGAGTTAAATTTTCAATACATGACTCAAGTTTGCAAGCAATACAAAGATTTCGTTCTAATTGGGTTGTTTACGGCTGTTTTCTTACAAGTGAGTGGCTGTAGAAAAAAATTCCCGACTGTTCGTCGCCTGTTTTAGTTTATTCTATAAAAATACAGTGTATAAAAGCCAAGGACGGGACTTATTTCATGCAAAATGGGTCTGGAACTTTCTGTGTTGAACTACCATTCGCACACAAACGAATAAAAACACCAGGTTTTGTTCTAAAGTTAGTACAAAGACAAAGACCAAAGTGAACGCAATACTATACTATAGTATTGCGGTAGCTCGTTGTACTTCGTTTTTATCTCGGTTTTTATGTTGTTATTGCGCTATTTTCTCTCGATAGCAAATCGGAAACAGGTAATTTCCCTATCTACATATGTTATTGTTAGTTAACTGCATTTATATAGTAGATTTACCTGCGCAATATTGCTTTTAAAAACAGCGTGAAAGTGAAGGATTGTCAATATTAATTTATAAGTTTATGTTACTTGGCTTTGATAAACGCCTTTATTGAAGGTGACAGTGCCTGCCATAGAGAGGTAGCACAGTCGTATTTTGCTCACATCTTTTGACAAATCGCACGAGTGGCGATAAATATCGATCACGATCGAAATATTTTCAGCTTGTCGCTGTGGAGTTGCGCTGGAATTGCGTTTAGATCGCAGGGTATTTACACTGGCGATTTCATGTCGCCATCACGTGAGCAGAAAAAATCGCACTTAAAATCGCAGCAAAAGTAATCACATCCAAGTGCAAACAGAACTTGAATTAAGGAAGAGTTGCAAAAAAGTACCAAATGAGCTAATCAAACAAAATGCCACTTCCTAATGGTCGTTACAATGGAATAAAATTGCAGTATAGCACAACACCATTGTTCACCACAAATGTTTCAAATCAAGGTGACATTCCTTATTTATACCATATTGAAAAAGACTGTAAAAATTAGATTTTACATTAAAGTGATACTGGAGATTCCAAAATATTGCATGATATGTTCGCAAAAATTAAACATAAATAGTATTCTACATACCTCCAGGTTTTGCTGGTACAGTTGTTCCTCCAGGTCCACCAGGTCCACCAGGTCCTCCAGGTCCACCAGGACCCCCTGGTCCACCAGCTCCACCAGGTTGTCCAGGCTGTCCAGGAACTCCAGGAACACTAGGCCCTCCAGCTCCTCCAGGGCCTCCTGGACCTCCAGGTCCTTTTGGACCGCCAGGTCCACCAGGACTGAGAGGTCCATTGGGCCCACCTATGCCTCCAGGCCCTTTCGGTCCACCTGGACCACCAGGGCCACCAGGTTCCCCAGGTCCGCTAGGTTTTCCGGGTCCACCTGGACCTCCCGGACCACTTGGTCCTCCAGGTCCTCCAGGCCCACCAGGGCCACCGGGGCCTAAAGGTCCTCCAGCTTCTCCAGGACCTCCAGGTGGTGTTTTACCACCTGGACCACCTGGACCGCCTGGACCTCCAGGTCCCCCTGGGCCGCCAGGACCTCCTTGGGAACCAGGGCCTCCAGGTCCTTGTGGTCCGCCAGGTCCACCAGGGCCACCTGGTCCACCAGGACCACCTGGGCCCCCCGGCCCACCTGGACCTGTAGGCCCACCAGGGCCTCCTGGCCCGCCAGGATTTCCAGGACCACCCGGTGGTGTTTTCCCTCCGGGTCCACCAGGGCCTCCAGGCCCACCAGGTCCACCAGGACCTCCAGGTCCTCCTGGTCCACCAGGTCCGCCAGGCTTTCCTGGACCTCCAGGTGGTGTTTTTCCACCTGGTCCACCTGGACCATTTGGTCCACCCGGACCACCTGGGCCTCCAGGTCCTCCTGGGCTTAAAGGTCCATTTGGTCCTCCGGGACCACCAGGTCCATTCGGTCCACCAGGTCCACCTGGTCCTCCAGGCCCCTGTGGACCTCCAGGTTGTCCTGGCCCTCCAGGTGGAGTTTTACCACCAGGTCCACCTGGGCCACTTGGTCCTCCAGGGCCTCCAGGGCCACCTGGACCACCAGGACCGAGAGGTCCTCCAGGTTGACCAGGACCACCAGGTGGTGTTTGCCCACCTGGACCGCCTGGTCCATTAGGTCCACCAGGCCCATTCGGTCCCCCAGGCCCTCCTGGGCTCCCAGGACCACCAGGTTTTCCAGGGCCACCAGGTCCTCCAGGACCGCCAGGGCCACCAGCACCTCCTGGTCCGCCAGGGCCACCAGGACCCCCAGGTCCTTTTGGTGATCCTGGCTGGCCAGGTCCACTTGGAACAACAGGTCCTCCAGGTCCACCAGGTCCTCCTGGGCCTCCAGGTCCACCTTTACCTCCGGGGCCCCCTGGACCACCAGGGCCTCCTGGCTCACCAGGGCCACCTGGAGGTGTCGATCCTCCAGGCCCTCCGGGGCCCCCGGGACCCCCTGGGCCGTTGGGGCCACCAGGTTTCCCAGGAGTGCCAGGACCTCCTTTACCACCAGGTCCGCCAGGTCCATTAGGGCCTCCTGGCCCCCCAGGACCACCAGGTGCACCAGGCCCTCCTGGTCCACCTGGTCCACCAGGCCCGTTTGGCCCTCCTGGTCCACCAGGTCCACCTGGTCCTTTAGGTCCTAAAAAAAGAATACAGTATAAATTACCAAGGAGAATGTTCCTGAGAAAATAAATAGATTTTCCTCTTAATTTTCTTCACAAACTGAAAAAGTCCATGGTGCTGGTAATTTTAGTCAGTACTTGTGAACGATAATCAATTGAGATATGATAGTAAGGAAACTCGGCCAAAATCTTTATTGTATCTTTCTGTTCATGTTCATGTTCATGTTCATGTTCATGTTCATGTTCATGTTCATGTTCATGTTCATGTTCATGTTCATGTTCATGTTCATGTTCATGTTCATGTTCATGTTTATGTTAACGTGTGCACGGTGAAAACAATATTTGGAAGGTTGAACCAATTAATCATCCAATAACATCGCCAAATGACACAAACTTACTGTTGTTAATTTAATATTAAGAAGCAAAAGTTGAAAAGATTTGTGGAACAGGAGGGCGTCTGAATCGTAGCTCATTTAGAATGCTTTGAAATTCGCCCAGCAGTTTCCTGACTATCTCGATTAAATATTGTGAAATATTGTGAAATATTCTTTTTAAATTTGGTCCTTTCCTGGACCATAGAGCTTTTTCTGTGATGAAGAGTATTCTATAAGCATATGGTAGTTACGGGAAAAATATTTTAATATTTTAATATTAAAAATAGAGCCTCTTTGGGTTAGTAGAATGTTGTTTAAATATTATTGAGAAAACGTGAAATATCGACAACTGAAAACATAACTTAGGGTAATGCAGGGCAATGGGCGAGGTTCAAATCCGTCTTGCCATCTCTGCAGTTGAGACTGCAGACATGCCTAGAGGGATTAAATCGCCGAGTCAATGGTAGGCAAAAAATTTATCTTTTTGTGGTGAACGTTGGTCAAAGTCAATGCCTAACGAGGATGGATGACTTGTTCACAATGCAAACAATGGTGTCACGAAGAACGTTGTACTGTTACCGCAGCCAGTGTGACCTGTGTGTGTGTGACATTAAACTTAAAAATGATTTGAAACATGTATTTTATAATTAATTCTAAAGTTCTATTAAAATAAGTATAATTATATTGACTTTATTTTTAATTTTTAGCCCTGTCTCATTTTGCCTCACTGTGCCGGGGCAAGATGAGACAATTACCACTGCTAGGTTTTCCTCGATTTATCGCAAATAAATTATTTCAAACATTTTTTTTTGCTTTACATATCTTGCTGTGAGTCAACCTCACATACCCAAGTCAAAAAGAAAATTCAAATTGCTATGCCTTCCATTCTACAACAGTAAATGTCCTTAGGTGTCTCATTTTGCCCTGCATTACCCTATCTATGCATTATTAAAAATTTGTCATGATCCTCTTAACGGCCTTCATGCTTTCCTAAAGTTAGTATGAAACTACTAGTAGGCTATCATGTTTCGTATTATACTATTATACTATTCTATTAGTGATAGCCTACGAGTAGCAACAAGCGCGGAAGAGCGCGAAAATCAATGGCCGTTTTTAAGTATTAAAAGCGAACAGTATTTAAAGGAAAAAAGCTTATTAAAATGGCCTTATTCTGGTTCTGGATTACATACAAAGACTCTTGGAAACTGCTGACACATACGGTAAAATTTCTAAATTTCCTCATTTTGCTCGTAGTTTTGAACATGAAAATGACAGGCGACTTTTTAAATATATGCACAATGTTTGTTAATATTCCGAAAATAATCCTTGAAATTCAACAATAGTTTGTAGCTACTAATTACCCCTACTTTCTCAACCTTTTTTGAGCTTGTTTTAAGTACGAGCTCATGTATTTAGCTATCATTTTAAATGTCGAGATTTTGGAATTACTAGATCGACACTCTACCAACTGAGCTACACGGTCAGACGGATTTAAGACTGGAAATTATGAAATATAAGGTCGCGGGTTCAAGACCCAGCCGCGGCAGACAACGTCTTTCTGCTTGCGCTGGGTATGGAAATTATATAATACACACTCTAGAACATTTTCATCTTAACATATTATGGAGTGTACAATTACACAACTTAACATGTATATATATATATATATATATATATATATATTTAGATTTTTTTTATTAACAGTAAACTAAATTCTAAATTTTCGGCTGCATGCCGCAATAATTCTGACGAAGGTTGCGGCATGCAGCCGAAAATTTAGTTTACTTTTAATAAAAAAAATTTACTTTCGGTGGTGGTGGGCTATTTTGTTCTATAAGTAGGCCTATTCATGTTTCATCTGCCGAGCTAGCCTGCTCACAGGCTCTATTATATAGAGCCTGCGACTTTTATTGATATTTTTTCAATACGCCCCCTTTGAGATAATTGAATATCCGGTAAATAGTAGCCAATCAAAGCAAGTTTTGTTAATTAGATTACCAGAGGTTATTAACAACAACAACAAACAGTTTCTCGCGCAATTTTACGCCTGTATCTTTCACTAGAATTCCAAGGTCTAAACTTTAATCTAAAATAATTCATGATCGTTTTTCCCCTAAAGTGTTCTAATATTTAAAACATAGTCCCGTTTGTATATTGCTGTCTTGTTCGTACATTGCCGTTTTAAATTATGTAACTATACTACAGAGACGTAAAATTTTACTCTCAATTAGTTAATGTATTTTATCTATTTATATCCAAAATATAACTGTAAGATTTAAGGAAACCTATTTAGGTTTTGAACAAAGTAACAAACACTATTTATTAAAAGTGTCGAACAATAGCAGGCTAAAAAACAACATTAATCATTATTGCGTGAAGTCTGTCATTTGCTCAACTGATAATACAATTAACTCAATAGACAATAGACAATTTGAAAACCCGTGGCCGTGGCATCGATTCTGCCGTGTTTAATAACTACATTTTTTTTTGTAAAAAGCTCTTGTTGTAATAATATATGTCACTAGTTGAGACTCCCAAAAATAAAGTCTCAAAGAGAGAGCGGATTTCGGTCAAAAAACACGCAAACGACTATTGCAAAATTTCCAGGTGTAAATTCAAATTGGCCAGGTGTTCTAAGAACGACTTTCCTCGACGGCGTCTGTTTTAATATAAATTTGCCCATTGTCTTGACTTATTCAAGGCCAGATTGTTTAGGCAGAAAGCCTTGGGTTGACAGGGAAGTATTTGGGAGAAATGTTCGGAGGCATTTGACAATCAACTGCTTTATACTAGCTGATTCACTGCCTGTGTCTCAACGAACGTCTCGCTGGGCTAACCTTAAGTTGTTCAACGTTTGAAACCGCAAGTGATGCAAACGAGGTTAGATAAATTGTCAGCCTGAACTAGACTTATTTTACTCTCTCTGCAAAGATCAGCAAGGCATACGTCGAAGTTTTCCCTTGTACTTCTTTGGAAAAGGTTTATTATTATAGCTGACGAAGACAAAGTATCGGTATATTACATGTAAACTTTTATCAAATCCCGTTGGAAGTACAGTTAATATTGCTAACCTTAATTCGCTCATCCTTCGACGTTAATTTAAATTGAAAGGTTTCTCGAATACATTCAGTTACTCATCTTCGAAGAGATAAACAAAGTCATGGTTTTATACGCCACTGATTGAATGCCAGCTTTAAAATTACATTGCGAAATGTCGTACGAGTTAAATATTTGCACGATATTAACTCATGGGGTACTTCTGACCAATGGGAATTTTGCGTACGCTCCGTACGCATAAATCGACTTTTTACTAATAAAGGTCGCAGGCCGTTCCTCCCATGCAGCCTCTGCCTGACAACGGCCTGCGAGCAGGCTACTGCCGAGCGGGCCTTTGGCATTTGCAGTTAAATATTTGTAGTTATATATTATATATATATTAATATATATGATACATTTTCTAAGGTTTGTAGTTGATCTAGTTAAAAACATTTTATTTAAAATAAAAACTAGTAAAATAAAAACTACTAAATTTTCGGCTGCAAGCTGCAAGCCTTCATCAGAGTATATGGCAAGAGTCATTACACCTCTATTTATAGTGTCTATCGCCGGTTCATGTCATATCGCCAGTTTGATTTCATGGAATAACATGCTGGAAATTCAGTGTGTTCATTAGCCTTGTTTTCATTAAGAATGGAATGTAAAGCCTCTAAGAAAATCCTTTGTTCGTAATTCTTTATTCCATTTTCTAATACTATAGCGTCTTCATGATTTTGCAGCGTCATGTCATGTCCAGTGTATTCAGTGTGTTCCTTTATTGACGAAAAATCCTCTCAGTTCCAACTCCCGGTTTGTGTTCTAGCCACCTTGTCGCCCAACATCTCTTCGATTCTCTGCATTTGTATTTGTATACAATAGCTTTTGTTCTGTCTTCTAACGGTCTTACTTTGGGCTTGCAAAAAATATTCCTTAAAGTTAGTATTGGTTTGAACGCGACCCGAACTTCTGCATTGGTTAAAATACTTTTTCCTTTTTCTGAAACTCCGTTAACATGTAAGGAAGGCATGTCGAACCACGAATTTCATAGACCCTTTTCATAAATGGCTGCCGATTAAAAATTATTTTATGTGCATATAAATTGGCCCAACTATAGCCTCGTACTCATGTTAAGATTTCAAAAGAATTTCTACCCAGAAACGAGGCTAATTGGGCCAATTTATATGCACATAAAAGACTTTTTAATCGGCAGCCATTTATGAAAAGGGTCTATACTCAGCATTTTTTTTGTCTGACGGTTGTTCGTAACAACTTTAACAGTGAATCACTTTTGATATCCATTTAATTTTAATGTTTCAATCACATTTTCGGTCTCATGGGCTTGCAATACAGAATTCGTTGGGATAGTTTTTGCACGATCTAATAATGTTTTTACTACAGCTTTCTTGTCATTCACATGGCTATGTGATTTGTATAATAAATATTTGTTCGTGTGAGAACTTTTTCGAAATACGTTATCATTTAATACTACCAGATGTTGCGGTTATAATTTCGGTATCCAGAAACAGATAAAAGACGCAATACAACATCAAAAACCGAGACAGAGTTACAAGAACGTTTATTAAAATTAAAAGACACTGGTTTTTCAACAGATAATGAGTACAAAAAACTGAGACCATTTTATTCCTATCCGGCGGCGTTTTACGGTTGCCAAAGATATATAAGGTTCCTTTAGCAAAATGATCATTCTATAATAGACGCAGGCACAGAAGTTTCTCTTAGACCAATAAATAGTTCAATTGGGTCTCCAACGTATGAAATCTCCAAATATTTCGCACGCATTCTAAAATACTTGTACAATGTTAGGAACTCTAAAGAATTAGTTAGTTAGGAACTCTAAAGAATTAGAGTTAGTTAGGAACTCTAAAGAATTAGAGTTAGTTAGGAACTCTAAAGAATTAGTTGCCAGTTTTATTTGCAATCAAACAATAGAAGCATGCAACTGCCCTGCAGACATCTCCCGTTCTGGTACGGTGGTGGAAAAGATATGTAGAACAATCGGACATTTCAATATTTCATAATCATCTAAATTCAAATTCTATCAACCCACATATACATGTACAATTCACGCTTGAAATGCCTGTTGTTAGAGAGAATCAGCAAACCATAGCGTTTCTGGATACCGAAATTATAACCACAACATCTGGCAGTGTTGTAATAATAGCGTATTTCGAAAAAGTTCTCACACGGACAAATATTTATTATATAAATCACATAGCCATGTGAATGAGCTGTATAGTAAAAACATTATTAGATCGCGCAAAAACTATCCCAACGAATTCTGCATTGCAAGCCCAAGAGACCGAAAATATGATTGTAACATTAAAATTAAATGGATATCAAAAGCGTTTCACTGTTAAAGTTGTTACGAACAACCATCAGACAAACAAAAATGCTGAGTATGAAATTCGTGGTTCTACATGCCTTCCTTATATGTTAACGGAGTTTCAGAGTATTTCAACCAATGCAGGAGTTCGGGTCGCGTTTAAAGCAATACTAACTTAAGGGAATATTTTTCGCAAGCCCAAGGTAAGACGTTAGAAGACAGAACAAAAGCTATTGTGAACAAATACAAATGCAGAGATGTATAAAAAAACGCAACCTCGGAATTTCCCAAGAAATAAACTTTGCAATTATTAAGCACAAAAGATTTTAGGCCTCCGGGAACTGAAATCGAATTGCTAATAGATCATATTACTGTTGTTGTACTGTACTTGTATTACCGTTGTTGTACTGTACTTACTGTCGTTGTACTGTACTTGTAAGTGTCATTAAAGCCTGGTTCACACTGATTCGTAATTCATTGGCGATCTATTGCATTCTTTTCCGACTGACAAAGCATTTCACTCACCAATGACCACAAACAATGGAAATTCCAGATTCTTACGACCAGTGTGAACCATGCAGGCATAAATAAATGCATAAATTTTGCTTTATGCACTCGCGTGTGCAGTAATTTTGACAGTTGTGCTATTTTAAATTCCCAGGCACCTAAAATATTTTGTCCTTAAAACAATGTCGATTTCTTGGGAAATTCCGAGGTTGCGTTTTTTTATACGGGTGACAAGGTGGCTAGAACACAAACCGGGAGTTAGAAAGAGGATTTTTTCGACAATAAAGGAACACATTGAATGCACTGGATATGACGCTGCAAAATCAGACGCTATAATACTAGGAAAGGGAATAAAGAACTACGAACAAAGGATTTTCTTACAGGCTTTACATTCCATTCTTAGGGACTGGTCATAATGTAAAGGGGGCGGGCTGGGAAAAATAGGGGGGTGGGTCACTATTTTTGAGCACGGTTGAAGGGGTGGGTCATCGAAAGTTAAGTGGAATCATAAGGGTGGACCATGTAAAAATATGCAGAAATTTTTAGGGGCATGTTTATTAAAATTCGTATTATAAAAATAGAAATAACGTATCTGGATCTATGTGTAAAATTTATACCGAAAACGTTGACCTCAAACTTAAAAGCTGAATTTACTATCTTGGCTAATACGTTAGTAGTGGCTAACTAATTTTCTGATAATCATTATTGCTAAATGTCACGAGCTTGGTGTAGGATGTTTATTATGTAACAAAATTAGTGTAATTTCCACAAGAGCATAGTTAAATCACAATTATCGTTAGCGGTTTGGCGTTAGCTGTAAATGTCAAACTAAAGGTCTCTAATTATGAGAAAGATGCTGCATAATGTAGTATGCATGGGAAGTTCCATGCAGAGAAAGACCTTTCTGTATTTAATTCAGGGCCTCTTTTAACATATAGACTGGTGAGGACATGTCCCCCCAGCCCTCTTACTGGCTGCTCCAGTCGGCAATTATACCCCCCCCCCCAGTGAGGTCCCTAGGAACTACCTGCAGTAGGTTGTCAACCAGCAATTATGTATCAAAGTGAAAAAACGTTGTTAATATTTCTGAATTTGACCATCATCTAGCTATGAGTCAACCGAGTCAATTGACTCAGTAGGCCAGAATTTGGGGACGGAAATTTAATTAAACATATCGCCAGAAACCTAAACCATGACTGAAATAATTTGCTTGTGGAGAAAGGCATAAAATGGCATTTTAGTTTTAGAATGAAATTCTAGTTTAGTTTTTCCAAGCAAAGATATTCCAAAGAGACCACCCTATCTTGCTCTTCAGTAACACTGAGAAGACGAATGCGTCGATTTCAAGTACCCCAATACATGTGACATTCACCGGTGAATGATAATACTATACCACACACACATTTTAATTACCGCATCATCACACCATGTTGCCTAATTGAGACTGGATTACATTTGGGAGACTGTGAAATTGTAGTAATTGTGTCACTGTTAATAGGGTTAATTTCTTGTTAAAAAAAAACTCCTCAAAATGCAGGAAATAGCTTATCTGAGCTTCAAGAAATCTAGGCCGTTTGCCGTGACCTAAAAATATGCCTAGAAAACGATTTTCATTAAGCATGTCGTGGAACTGAAATATTTTCACGGTAACTAACATTTTCGAACACGCTGAATTCAAATCCGAAAAGTTGCCGCTCCGTAGACCCGCAGTTTTTTCACAAATTGCATCTTTATTTTTAGTTCTTCGACGAACAAAAATTTACACGCGCCATTTTGAAATTAAATAACATCACTCAGAGTATGCCGTTTTTGCTCCCCAGTCTCCGATGCTCATGACCGAGTTAAGATTTAGAGCAATGTTATTAAATTTGCTGCAAAACAAACACAGTCACGTGGTTTTAAAAATGGCTTGTCAGAGTGATTTTCAGTTTATTTGCCAGTAAAATCGCTAAAGAATGAGAAATAAAAGTTTAAATTATTTATTTGGCAGAGAAAAGCAATACGGTAGGTGCTCTCTGTGTATATTTTTTTAGTTTGTTTAAGGCTAAATGGCCTATAGAAGAACAACTAAGTGATTAAGTGAACAATCATCACGATTTATTCAGGTTAGCTCTCAGACACATATAAGGAAAGGATTAATTAAGGCCAGTCTGCTTGAAAACTCACAGTAAATTTGTTCCATATCAATTGAGTTTGCTGTTTATGAGAATTATTATATTGATTTATCACCCCATGAAATGTCAAGAAGGCCAACAAAACCATGAACATTTGCATAGTATAAATGATTATTATATCTGCATAACCTGCTGCTGACTTATTTATTCCATGCTTTATTGCATCTTCAAGATTTGGACTGTGCTAGAATATATACACACAAGAATATGTAATAGGATATACAAATAAGATTCTGCATGATTCATGAATAGATTAGGTCTAAACTTGTATTAAATATTTTTTATTCGTAAGTGCATGGCTTTCCCCATGCAGGGCAGAGTACACAAATCTGAGCGCGGCCTGTCATTGATCACATTTAGTTCAACTGCATAGTAGAGCCTTGGGCGTTTAACCTATTGCATGAGCGCCAGCACTTTTCCACTTGACGAGTAAAATTGTCTGGCATTAGACAGAGTAAACTAATAAAGTAGGGTGCATTGGGGAGCAATCCAACTACTTTAAAGGGTTAAGATCCAAGCACAGCTGCCTGGGACTCGTGTATTTTTCCTTATTTCTAACAGGTTATAAAACAAAACAAACAACTTGTTTACTGTCAAGCTGGAAAAAACCCAGCATATAACAACACATTAAGTATTACTTTGTAAAATTGGGCAACAAAACATTAATGCTGTTGAATATATTTTGAACTCACAGCTTTGCTTCCACCTATGGCTACAATCATGGCAAAAGTTCTGTGGACACTTACAGGTGTGAACGATTAAAGTATTACTGTTCACATACACATGTTGGCATCTTCATCTCCCCCATCAGTCACAGAGCTTTCGCCTAACCGATCTAGAAGCTTTTCAACGGTTAAAAAATGCTGTTTTTGCATGTATGTTTGGGCAAGGCAGGTATTTGTATTTTTGTCCACACTATCCACAATAATTTTTTCCAGGATTGTAGGTAGATATTCTAATTTAGGGACTGCTTATATGAGCGGCTACTGTAGATCTCAAAACCAGACTGATCTCTGTCAGTCAAACATCTTTCCTTGTAATTGACGGAATTAATACAAGTTAAGACCCAATCTATTCATGCAGAATCTTATTTGTATTCTATTACATATTCTTGTGTGTGTATATATTCTAGCACAGTCTAAATCTTGAAGATGCAATAAAGCATGGAATAAATAAGTCAGCAGCGGGTTATGCAAATATAATAATCATTTATACTAAACAAATGTTCATGGTTTTGTTGGCCTTCTTGACATTTCATGGGGTGATAAATCAATATTTGAATAACAGTTTCTATAAATTACTTTACACCTTATGACCAACAATAATTCCCATAAACAGCAAACTTGATATGGAACAATTTTACTGTGAGTTTTCAAGCAGACTGGCCTTAATTAATCCTTTCCTTATATGTGTCTGAGAGCTAACCTGAATAAATCGTGATGGTTGTTCACTTAATCACTTAGTTGTTCTTCTATAGGCCATTTGGCTCCCGTGGATATTATCCTACGGAGCTGTGATGATAACCCAGCCATGTATTAGTGTATGTATTGTCAGTATTGTAAATTCGTATTGTTTGTAATGGCAAAGCATTTTAAATAAAATAAAAATAAATAAAAAACAAACTCAAAAAATGTACACAGAGAACACCTACCTTATTGCTTTTCTCTGCCAAATAAATAATTTAAACTTTTATTTCGCATTCTTTAGCGATTTTACTGGCAAATAAACTGAAAATCACTCTGACTAGCCATTTTTAAAACCATGTGACTGTGTTTGTTTTGCAGCAAATTTTTAAATAACATTGCTCTAAATCGCAACTCGGTCATGAGCATCGGAGACTGGGGATCAAAAACGGCATACTCTGAGTGATGTTATTTAATTTCAAAATGGCGCGTGTTTATATAAATATAAATACAAATGCAATTTGTGAAAAAACTGTGGGTCTACGGAGCGGCAACTTTTCGGATTTGAATTCAGTGTGTTCGAAAATGTTAGTTACCGTGAAAATATTTCAGTTCCACGACATGCTTAATGAAAGTGAACGATATCGGGTCACGGCAAACGGCCTAATCCAACATCTTCTGGGGGGCACGCTCGCAGGTCCTCTAGAAGCTCGCACCTTTGGTGGTCAACTCGGTTGTCTCAGAATCCTAGTTACAGCCTGATCTGCTGCCCTATGACGTATACTTATCATCAGTTAAACCATGCATATATATATGCTGGTAGCTGCAGTGATACAGACTTGCCGACTGGAACATCTCCAGGTCCCCCGCTAAATATGTCCCCTCCAGTTATACATCCTTAAAAGAGGCCCTGAATTTTAATTGCACCATTTGAATAGCTATTGAGTATTGTAACAGAATTATTTGGCAACAGAAAAATAGAACGCTGGTATCTTTTGTCTTCTGAAAGGGTGGGTCATAATTTTTCAGCACCAATTTAAGACATTTAAGGGTGGGCCACAAATTTTCGTGCAGCTATTAAGGGGTGGGCTACCAAAAGTGCAGACACCAAATGTATAATTTTCCCAAGCCCACCCCCTCCCCTTTTACTTTATGACCGGTCCCTTAATGAAAACAAGGGCTAATGAACACACTGAATTTCTGGCTTGTTACTCCATATTAACAGATGAAATCAAGCGAAACGATACAATTATAAATAGAGGTGTAATGACTCTTGCCAGATACTCTGATGAAGGCTTGAAAAATTTAGTAGTTTTTACTTTTACTAGTTTTTATTATATCACAATAACGTGATTTTACCAAATAAGGTCATGAGAACATGAAAAATCTGAGAGCGGATTACATTGTAAAAAGCCGTATTGCCCTCGTCTAAACAGGTTTTTCAGGTTAGGACGAAGCAAAAATCCGACATTTTTGAGTGAAAAACAAACTAAGGGAAAATAATAGGTCAAAGGCGACTCCAGACTCGAATATAATGTTATGAACATTTAAACTCAGTAATAAAAAACGCTATAAAGCTTCAAAAGTAAAACAGAAAACGTGCGAGCAATTTGAGGTATTTATTTCTTGAATTCGTTGGGCAAAACAGTCAACAGGAAAAATTATATAAACAAAAGCTCAACCATCCAAATTTATTTCAAGAAATAGTTTTTCAACGAAAACAAATCATGACAACTTACTTGAACATTTGTGAAGTAATTGAACCGTTTCGACATAAAAATATTAGGCTGGCACATGCGGCAAAGCGTCAGTCATTGTTGCGCCTTTCTGCATTTCTCGCTTGCAGAATCGACAATTTATTTTCAAAATTCGTGGTTACAACGTTGAATAGTTGAAGAAATCTGTGTTTATGTACTATTTCTCCACTTAATTCACATTTTTAACAACTTTTAATCGGCATATTTCATATATTCAACTCAAAACTCCTTTCTTGTTTGTGGCAGATAAAAATTTATCTGGTTAAGAAACTTGATGGACAGGTTTTCTTCGTTTTTTATATTTTATCCAATCAAATTCAAGAACAATGACGTCAGTGTGTTGTTGCTAACTTGGTATGCAACTTCGTAACCTGTTTCAGGACGTTTGTTTTCATCGCCGTTTACAGCGCTAAACGCATGCAAATCCTTCAAAAAAGACATTGAAATCTACTTTTTCAGGTTTATCATATAATAAAAATCCTATTGAGTGGTTTGACATATAATACTGCCGAGCATTTTACTCGTTTCTCCATTTGGGGAAATGCTTTTCCCCATACTTTGCAAAGCAAAGCAAAGCAAAGCAAAGCAAAGCAAAGCAAAGCAAAGCAAAGCAAAGGTCATCTTTTCTCATTATGTCAAGATTCAATGTACACATTTACCATGTAAGTCGGACATGTTTGGCACCTAATGTTAGTCCAAGAGAAGAAACTGGCAACTGTTTATTCCAGAAGTCGGTGCTTTCTTGCTATGTGCAACATGCTCATATGCATGTAATGCAGTGAACTATGCTGCAACAAATAACTTGGGAAAGCTTGAAGGGAACTAACAAACGTAATTAATTTTTAACAATACAAGTTATGTCTTTGGTCATTTTATACTCAACAATATTGCAACAGCACTTTGATGCTTTTCTGACAGCCCCCCTAAAATTTGATTGTGTTTATAAATCGGCTCCCAATTCCTAGTTTTGCAAATAGCCAGATCTAGATGTCAGTATTCTTCGGGCTGCTGAATAAGAACTATAGGCAATTCCAGCTTTTAGTTTATGCGTGCAGGGGATGATGGGAAGTAAGGTATCACATTGCTGATTATGCTGAAGAAATAAAAATGGTGGCCGTGTAAACACGGAGTGATAGCTTATACTTGTAAATATTGAAATATTTCGGTTGTTTCGGTAGTTTTTATTGAAATTTTTCAGCATAATCAGAAATATGATACCTTACTTCCCATCATCCCCTGCAGGTATAAACTAAAAGCTGGAATTGCCTATTACAAAGATAATTTTAGTTATAAATATAGTTACGTTACATACCTCCAGGCTGTCCAGGTCCTTTTGGAGCAGCTGGTCCACTCGGTCCTCCAGGTCCTCCAGCACCTCCAGGTCCACCAGGTCCTCCAGGTCCTCCAGGTCCCCCAGGACTACCAGGCTGTCCAGGTCCACTGGGTACAGCAGGCCCACCAGGTCCTCCAGGTCCTTCTGGACCACCAGGACCTTTTGAGCCACCAGGACCACCAGGAGTTAATGGTCCTCCTGGTCCACTAGGTCCACCTTGTCCACCAGGCCCACCAGGTCCTTTAGGTCCACCAGGACCTCCAGGACTCCCAGGTTGTCCAGGTCCACCAGGAATAGCAGGGCCTCTGGGCCCACCTGGCCCTCCTGGACCACCAGGACCTCCTGGCCCACCTGGTCCTCCTGGTCCTGTTGGCCCACCAGGTCCTCCAGGTCCTCCAGGTTTCCCAGGACCTCCCGCAGGGGTTGGACCATTAGGGCCGCCAGGTCCACCAGGACCACCAGGACCCTTTGGTCCACCTGGGCCACCAGGACTTCCTGGGCCACCAGGTCCACCCGGTCCTCCAGGTCCATGAGGTCCGCCAGGCCCTTGAGGACTGCCAGGTCCTCCTGGACCACCTGGTCCTCCTGGGCCACCATTCCCACCAGGACCGCCAGGTCCTTCAGGATTTCCAGGCTGACCTGGTTGAGCAGGCACTTTAGGTCCACCAGGACCACCTGGACCTCCTGGGCCCCCAGGTCCACCTGGACCTCCTGGTCCACCAGGACCATCTGGTCCACCAGGTTCACCTGGGCCACCAGGGGGAGTTGGTCCATTTGGACCACCAGGACCATTTGGACCACCTGGCCCTCCTGGCCCTCCTGGCCCACCAGGTGACAATGGTCCTTGTGGACCACCAGGACCGCCTGGTCCTTTTGGTCCACCTGGCCCACCTGGTCCACCAGGGCCATTTGGACCACCAGGTCCCCCAGGCCCTCCTTGTGGTGTTTTACCGCCAGGTCCTCCGGGTCCACCTGGCCCACCAGGACCTCCTGGTCCGCCTGGGCCACCTGGTCCCAAAGGTCCTCCCGGATCTCCAGGGCTTGCAGGTTTACTGGGTATTGTAGGTTTCCCTCCAGGTGTTCCTGGCCCTCCAGGACCACCAGGTCCACCAGGTCCATGAGGTCCACCTGGACCTCCTGGTCCGCCAGGTCCACCAGGTTTTCCAGGTCCACCAGGGCCACCTGGACCACCAGGGCCACCAGGCCCACCAGGGCCACCTGGCCCATTGGGATTACCAGGTTGACCTGGCCCAACAGGCACTGCAGGTCCTCCAGGTCCTCCTGGGCCACTAGGTCCACCAGGTCCTCCCGGACCCCCAGGTCCACCAGGGTCACCGGGTCTACCAGGCGAAGCAGGCCCATTAGGGCCACCTGGACCACCAGGTCCACCAGGCATATTTGGGGATCCAGGGCCACCAGGTCCTCCAGGTCCACCTGGACCTTTAGGACCACCTACACCACCAGGGCCTCCAGGGCCTCCTGGTCCACCAGGTCCACCAGGCCCACTTGGGCCACCTGGGCCTCCAGGTCCTCCTGGCCCACCAGGTCCATTTGGTCCTCCTGGTCCTAAAATGCACATTAAAACCAGGATTACTCAATTACAAATAATAGGAAATATAATCTGAAAATATATACATACTATGTCACAACATATTATGCAATGTTAACATCACAAGATTATTAATTAGATTTCGAAGAGATGTAGAATGCAATGTAGTGTATACAGTCGATTTGTCATTAAGTGGCAATGTATCAAAGTCTACAGAATAATCCTGTTTTGTTACAGTATATTATCCCTTATTATATTTTAAGTTGTCACATCAACCTACGATGAACCCTAATAGTATTTCATTTTCTTTTTCTTTTTCCTCTACGAAATGGAAATTCAACAGGCTGTCCGTGCATATTAAACGTGGCGAAAAATTAATTTTTACATAGGACGAAAGAACAGTTGTTTAGCTTTTCAATGATGCTCCTTTTAAATCGTAATGATGAGAAATAGCCACATATTCGTCAAATAAAAAATGCCGGTCGAAACCACATTCTTCCACCATTGGGAATTGCATGGAAAACGAAACATAGACAATTCCTAGGAAGGAATTAAAGTTGAATGTTAAATTATCTAAAATGAGCTCAACTTGTCAATCTTCGTCTTAGTGAGACAATAAGAACGTCCATTAAATTAAACATGGTTCAATTAACCATTGAACAGAGAACATTCGTAATCAAAACGTTTTACGAAACAAACACCTTGCAGCAGGCTCGTGTTACTTTTGGATTGATTAACTTTGTATAATTAATGTATGTTTAATTCCCAACGGTGAAAGAATGTGATTTCGACCGGCAATTTTTATTTGACAAGTATGTGGCCATTTTTCATCGTTATGGTTTAAAAAGGTATCATAGAAAAGCTAAATAACTGTTCTATCGTCCTGTGTAAAAATTGAATTGTTTAGCTACGTTTACGATGGAAAATATTGATGGATTATTATTAAATTGTTTAGCTAAGTTTAGACACCCTGTATAATAGATAGCCAGCGATAATAACAGTAATTTTAGCAAAATACTGAAACTAAAACGTGAGCAAATTTAGGATCATCGAATACCTAGACGCCACCTTCGCATTTCTAATTTGAAAACTGTTTCACCAATATTTGAAAACTGGCTAGTAAAAAGACACTGAGCACAAACAAGGCTCATAGTTAGCGTTCCTCAAAAAATTCCTCTATTGATGTTCCACAAAACCATGCATTCCTAAAGGGAGGCCTAAGATAGAGGTACACTTCGCAGTTTAGGGAACAGTTCTGGAAAATTCCTAACACTCCAGCGTAATTTGAAACAATGTATTACAATATAAACTTTACAGTTAGTTACCTCCAGGAATTCCAGGTTTGCTTGGTTTTTCTCCAGGCTTTGCAGGTCCTCCAGGACCACTGGGTTTACCAGGTCCACCAGGTCCACCAGGCCCACCGGGTCCACCAGGTCCACCAGGACCTCCAGCACCACCAGGTCTTCCAGGATTACCTGGGCCTTCTGGCACACTAGGCCCACCAGGACCACCAGGTCCACCTGGACCACCAGGGCCATTTGGACCACCAGGACCACTTGGCATGAGGGGTCCTTTAGGTCCTCCTGGTCCGCCAGGGCCATTTGGTCCACCGGGTCCACCTGGGGCACCAGGCTGACCAGGAGCATTAGGTTTCCCTGGGCCACCTGGCCCTCCTGGTCCTCCAGGACCACCTGACCCTTGAGGTCCCCCAGGTCCTCCTGGTCCTAGAGGCCCACCAGGCTCACCTGGCCCATTTGGACCTGTGGGACCATTTGGACCACCAGGCCCACCTGGTCCCCCTGGACCACCAGGTCCACCAGGGCTTCCAGGAGATCCTGGACCACCTGGTCCTTTGGGTCCACCAGGTCCCATTGGTCCGCCAGGACCACCAGGCCCTCCAGGTCCACCAGGACCTCCAGTGCCACCAAATCCACCAGGTCCTCCTGGGCCTCCAGGTCCATTTGGACCACCAGGTTCACTAGGTCCGCCAGGAGGTGTCTTTCCTCCTGGCCCACCAGGCCCACCAGGTCCACCAGGCCCACCAGGTCCACCAGGACCACCAGGTCCACCTGGCCTACCAGGCTGCCCTGGGCCACCAGGTACATTTGGTCCACTTGGTCCACCAGGACCATTTGGCCCCCCTGGCCCTCCTGGTCCACCAGGACCTCCAGGGCTTAGTGGACCTTGTGGTCCTCCTGGACCACCAGGACCTCCAGGGCCTCCTGGACCTGTTGGTCCACCAGGTCCACTAGGCCCTCCAGGTTGCCCAGGGCCACCTGGTGGTGTTTTCCCACCAGGTCCACCAGGACCACTTGGCCCACCAGGTCCACCTGGACCTCCTGGGCCTCCTGGTCCAAGTGGACCACCTGGCTCTCCAGGACCTCCAGGTGTTCCACCAGGTCCACCTGGTCCTTGTGGGCCTCCAGGACCTCCTGGGCCACCAGGTCCGCCTGGACCCCCAGGCCCTCCTGGTTTTCCTGGACCACCAGGTCCCTCAGGCCCTCCGGGTCCACCTGGTCCCCCAGGGCCTCCTGGACCTTTGGGACCACCAGGTGTTCCTGGTCTTCCTGGAGGAGTTTTACCTCCAGGTCCTCCAGGGCCTCCAGGACCACCAGGGCCACCTGGTCCTCCGGGACTTCCAGGTTTACCTGGTCCTCCTGGTACAGATGGTCCATTTGGCCCTCCTGGTCCCCCAGGTCCACCTGGCCCATTTGGTCCACCAGGCCCATTTGGTCCACCAGGTCCTCCTGGTGCTCCAGAACCACCTTTACCACCAGGTCCACCGGGTCCTCCAGGACCACCAGGTCCACCAGGACCACCAGGACCACCAGGTCCTCCAGGTCCATTAGGTCCACCAGGGCCATTAAGTCCTAAAAATATAGGATGTCCTTTGAAATTTATGCTAAAAACTTATAATTTGGTACATTTAATAGTTAACGAAATATTTAAAATGGAGAAATTGAGCAGCAGGGGGGGGGGAAGTGATCGGGGTTCAATAAGTATGGAATCAAAATTCAACTTTGTTTATATTACTACATTGACAATTTTGAATATCTGAATTCACAACTACTGTGTCAAGAACAAATACATGTGTGTACCCAATGCGCCAAAAAACGTTTGATTTGGTATAATAAGTTACCATAATTTTTTATATTGTAATATGATTTCCCGAATAATTCTTATCTGAATTACTATTGCCTCAAAAGATGTGTTTCAGAAAAGCACTGCCTCTTATATGTGAATATAAATAATCACACACCTCAGAAAACTATCAGTCAACTGATCTATTATAATGTATAATTACACGGTGTATTTGAAATTGTCGCTAAACTGCAAATTCTACAACATTTGTGAAAACGTTATGCAAGCATGGGTAGTTTGGGGTATGCTAGTATATTTACTACTAAAATTATTTTGACAAGTAAACCATCGAGTACAGGACGGTTGTTTTTGAAAAACACTTTAAAAATGTCTTGCACACAAAAATGTAAGGCTCAAAAAGCAATTATCAAAGATTCATGTTTATAGTGTCAGATAATTTGACGTACATTAAGTACAATGCACGACCTCTATAACTTCGATCTTTCTGCCCTATATAGTAGCCAAGCAGGTATAATTTTTAAACCTTTTGGAAGACATCAATCATGCGTAAAGTCAATCAATGCACAAAATCAGTCATGTGTTTCAGTGTTTAATAAATTGTGCGTGAACGGAGCCAATACACCAACAGCTCCAAGTTTTAGTGGTTGAGTGTTGGACTTCAAACTGCCTTGTACTTTGATAGTTCATGGACAATCTTCCAAATTTGCACCTAATGAATCGAAATTGCATTTTAAGCCTTCATTTTTGTATGAAAGCCATTTTTAAAGAGGTTTTTGAAAACAATTCTGCCGCACTTTACTCTTCAAAATAATTTTAGTGGTAAAGATACTAGCAGACCCAAACAACCCATGCATAAAGTTTTCACAAATTGTGCGAATTGTTCAGGTTAGCGGACATTTTCGAACTGTGCATCCTGCAGACTAGGGAGTTTAAGATCTTGACGACGAACTACCGACTACGTTTGAAATAGTTCTTGTTATATATATGCAAATACTAAATGCTTGTCACAACAAATTTATCCCAAATATGTTTTATGCGCATGGTTTTGTGTTCGATAAGTTTCATCTTTAATTTTCATCATTTCTCCAATCTGCAACGTTGCATAGTCAGTTTCGGTACTATGTACTTGAATCTGTTTTACAACACAAGAATGTGATTTTTACGTTGTAGCCAAGGTCGCTACCGTGAAAAGTATGCTCTGGGGATATGTAAATTTTGTCTGCCATTGTTAAATCATTGCGAAAACAAGCGTTCAACCGTACTCCGTACCTGTTGTTCGTTGTCGGCATCTTAAACTCCCCACTAAATGACGAGTACAGGTCAGAATAACAATGATGAATATGTCCCTATAAAGATATTTAAAAGCACATACCTCCAGGATTTCCAGGTCCTTTTGGTGCATTTGGTCCACCAGGGCCACCAGGTCCACCGGGTCCACCAGGGCCTCCAGGTCCACCAGGGCCACCAGGACCACCAGCATTCCCAGGTTGTCCAGGTCCACTTGGAATATTAGGGCCATTATCACCACCAGGTCCACCTGGACCCCCAGGACCTTTAGGCCCACCAGGTCCACCTGGACTTCCAGGTCCACCTGGACCTCCAGGTCCACCAGGTCCTCCAGGTCCACCAGGTCCATTGGGCCCTCCGGGAGCCCCTGGTTTACCAGGCTGCCCAGGAATGTCAGGAACAGATGGACCTCCAGGACCACCAGGACCTTGTGGGCCACCAGGTCCACCAGGTCCACCAGGCCCTCCTGGTCCTGTTGGTCCACCAGGCCCACCTGGACTTCCTGGTTGCCCTGGGCTAGTTGGTATAGCTGGGCCATGAGGTCCACCAGGGCCACCTGGACCACCAGGTCCACTTGGACCACCAGGTCCTCCTGGACTTCCAGGGCCATTTGGGCCACCAGGACCACCAGGACCGAAAGGTCCTCCTGGGCCTCCAGGTCCCCCAGGACCAGCAGGTCCACTAGGACCTCCTGTGCCACCAGGGCCGCCAGGTCCACCTGGTCCGTTGGGTCCTCCAGGACCACCAGGGCTACCAGGCTTTCCTGGACCACTTGGAACAGCTGGTCCACCAGGTCCCCCTGGACTACCAGGTCCACCTGGGCCTCCTGGCCCTCCAGGACCTCCTGGTCCTCCCGGTCCACCTGGCCCTAAAGGACCACCAGGTTGCCCAGGGCCACCAGGTGGTGTTGGACCATTAGGCCCTCCTGGACCTCCAGGTCCACCAGGACCATTAGGGCCTCCTGGGCCACCAGGTGATAAAGGACCTTTGGGCCCGCCTGGACCACCAGGTCCTTTTGGACCACCTGGACCACCAGGACCACCAGGTCCTTTTGGACCACCAGGCTCACCAGGGCCACCTGGAGGGGTTTTACCTCCAGGTCCCCCAGAACCACCAGGTCCTCCAGGACCCCCTGGACCTCCAGGACCACCCGGTTCTAATGGTCTACCAGGAGTACCAGGTACACTTGGTTGTCCAGGTTCTCCTGGTTTACCAGGTCCTCCAGGGCCACCAGGCCCTCCTGGGCCACCAGGCCCTCCTGGGCCTCCTGGTCCACCTGGACCTCCAGGTCCTCCTGGACTGCCAGGCTGACCAGGTTCCCCGGGGGTAGTAGGTTTTCCTTGTCCGGGAACCACTGGACCACCTGGTCCTCCAGGTGACCCAGGTCCACCAAGACCTCCAGGACCACCAGGTCCACCAGGACCACCAGGACCGCCTGGTCCTTGAGGGTTCCCAGGTTGACCAGGACCTTGAGGGGCAGTAGGTCCACCAGGTCCACCAGGACCTCCAATACCTCCAGGCCCACCAGGCCCACCAGGGCCTCCTGGTCCACCTGGATTTCCAGGATTCCCAGGAACACTAGGAACAGCCGGTCCACCTGGCCCACCAGGACTGCCTGGTCCTCCAGGACCATTTGGTCCTCCAGGTCCACCTGGTTGTAAAGGGCCTTGAGGGCCCTTAGGTCCTCCTGGGCCTTGCGGGCCGCCAGGGCCTCCAGGTCCACCAGGGCCACCGGGACCACCTGGTTCCCCTTCCTTTGGTTTTCCAGGATGTATAGCTGGACCACCTGGTCCTCCGGGTCCACCAGGTCCTCCAGGACCACCTTGTCCCCCAGGACCACCAGGACCACTTGGTCCTCCTGGCCCACCCGGGCCACCAGGTTTACCAGGTCCTCCAGGAGGAGTTGGACCATTAGGACCACCAGGTTGTCCAGGGCCACCAAGTCCACCAGGGCCACCTGGTCCTTGAGGTCCTCCTGGACCACCTGGTCCACCAATTCCACCAGGTTGGCCAGGGCCACCTGGAGCACCAGGTCCTCCTGGGCCTTCTGGTCCACCAGGACCGAAAATACCACCAGGTTGGCCAGGCTGTCCTGGTTGAGCAGGTGTGGTTGGCTTTCCAGGGAACCCTGGACCACCTGGTGCTCCTGGCTTTCCTGGTTTTCCTGGACCACCAGGTCCTCCTGGTCCTCCAGGTCCACCAGGTCCACCAGGACCTCCTGATCCACCTGGACCCCCAGGTCCAAGTGGACCTCCAGGTTCTCCAGGCCCTCCAGGGGGAGTTGGTCCTCCAGGTCCTCCAGGTCCTCCTTGTCCACCAGGTCCGCCTGGTCCACCAGGCCCACCTGGGCCACCTGGTTGACCTGGATTCCCGGGAGTAGCTGGTGTTGTAGGTCCACCCGGACCACCAGGTCCTTCAGGACCACCTGGGCCTTTTGGCCCTCCTGGTCCACTTGGCATTAGTGGTCCTTCTGGTCCTCTAGGACCACCAGGTCCTCCAGGTCCTCCAGGACCACCAGGTCCACCTGGGCCTTGAGGACCACCTGGATCACCAGGATTACCAGGCATGGCAGGTCCACCAGGCCCTCCAGGTCCTCCTGGGCCTCCAGGGCCACCTGGTCCACCAGGACCTCCAGGTCCAGATGGCCCACCAGGACCACCTGGTCCACCCGGCTGCCCTACACTTCCTGGCACTTTGCCACCTGGAGAACCGGGACCACCTGGACCACCAGGGCCACCTGGTCCTCCAGGACCACCAGGACCTCCTGGCATTCCAGGACCACCTGGTCCACCTGGGCCACCTGGACCATTTGGTCCACCAGCACCACCTGGGGAGCCAGGTGGGTTTGTAGGTATTCCTGGTTTGCCTGGTTGAGATGGACCACCTGGCCCTCCTGGTCCTCCTGGACCGCCAGGGCCACCAGGGCCACCAGGTCCTCCTGGTCCCCCAGGTCCCCCAGGTCCTCCAGGTTGACCTGGTCCTCCAGTGTTAGGTGGTTGTACAGGTGTACCTGGAATATTATTAGCATTTGGCCCGCCTGGGCCTCCTGGTCCATTGGGTCCGCCCTGTCCACCTACGCCACCAGGACCACCAGGTCCTCCTGGACCACCAGGATTCCCTGGCTGTCCGGGTCCACTTGGAACAGTTGGTCCTCCAGGTCCCCCAGGTCCACCAGGGCCACCTGGTCCACTCGGACCACCAGGGCCACCAGGCATACCAGGACCTCCAGGACCACCAGGTCCCCCAGGTCCGCCAGGACCACCTGGACCACCAGTTCCACCAGGTCCAAATGGTCCACCAGGCTCTCCTGGGCCACCTGGTGGTGTAGGTCCATTAGTTCCTCCTGGCCCACCTGGCCCACCAGGTCCGCCAGGTCCACCTGGTCCACCTGGGCCTGAATGGCCACCTGGAGTTCCAGGAGCACATGATGGTCCAACAGGTCCACCTGGACCACCTGGTCCACCTGGACCACATGGTCCCCCAGGGCCACCTGGGCCACCTGGACCCGCTGGTCCACCTGGCCCACCTATTCCTCCAGGTTGTCCTGGTCCCCCAGGTCCCCCTGGACCCCCTGGTGATCCAGGAGTTCCAGGTTTTCCTGGACGACCTGGAATACCTGGAGTACTCGGTACCCCCGGTCCACCTGGCACTCCAGGTCCACCAGGACCACCTGGTCCACCTGGGCCTCCTGGCCCACCTGGCCCACCTGGGCCTCCTGGCCCACCTGGTTGCCCAGACCCACCTGTTCCTGGATTTCCTGGTTCTGGTGCTGCCGGAATGGGTGCACCTGAAAAAAAAAAGAATAGTTTTGGGATTGAAACATGTATTAAACAAGTGAAATCTTAGTAACTTACTGACCTCAACCATTTAGCTTGTATGAAAAAATCAAACAAAGTTCTTGCTGAACTCAAAACAGCAAAACTGAGGTTTGAATTTTTTATTTTTTCGCATTGTACATTTGTAACAAAATGGAAAACATGGTCACACTAGGGAAAAGTCAAAGTTTTGGATAGTATTTCAAGGTAATCACGAGGTATTTAGTCATTTAATATAAAAAAGTATGTACAGTACTATCCAGAGATAACCTAACAAAAACCGCGGTTAAACTAGGTCAAACGTAGGTCGAACCTTGTCAAGCCTAGGTCGAACCTAGGTCAAACCGTTTGACCGAGGGTTTGACCTAGGTTATCTAAGGTTTGACATATCTATGGTTTGACATCGTTTGACCGAAACAAAAACCGCGGTCGACCTTTGCCGAGACAAAACCGCAATTTGTTTTTTCCGTAATCGAAAATTAATGTTTCCGAAATCGTTTCCGAATTTTCGCATCTAAGCGTCTTTCAATTTTGATTTTCCGAAGTTGTCGGTCGCTTACAAATTTCGGGACAAATTTGTGTTTTAAAATGCCGAAATTCTTCGCGTATGCTCGAGAAAGAGAGTTATTATACTGTAAATAAATAAATATACAGTACCGACAAAGTATGTCTTTATATTTAAGTATGTCTTGATTTCATATTCATGTCCTTTTTCAACTAACAAAAGTATATATTTTCGAACGAAATTGATAAATCTGTGGCTTCTTTAATTGTATTTTTGTGTCAGTAAGTGTCAAATTCCTCCACGCCACCTGCAAACCAAATATACACTTGCAATCTTAAGAGACGGCTTTAATTAATAGTTGAACAATGGTAAAATTTAATGGTAAAATTGATTTTGTACTTATTGAAAGAGTTCTTTAATAACAGCAGTTACCCTTTTTCCGTTTTGAATATTTTGAAAAAACTTTTAGAGAATATTTTGTTTGAAACTCGACTCCCGTCGCAGCTTTGGGGAAAGAGAAATTCCGCGCTTTACCAAAACAATTGCTTGCCATATAATAATAATTTTTGCTCAATTCACACAGTTGAATATACTATATTCAAATATTTTTATTTTATATATATATATATATATATATATATATATATATATATATATATATATATATATATATATATATATATATATATATATATATATATATGAATCGAAGATAACCATCTTGGATTTTTGGCTTAATCTGAATACAGTACAAGATTAAAGTTAACAAGATGTGTAAGCTTTAAATGAAATCGACTTCTTGCACTTACCAATTTTTTCAATGACGCCATCGATTGTAGCAGCCAGAGAATGATATACAAGGTTAATGTAGTAATGTTTGCTTGAGCTTGCCAAAGTCTCAATCTGTTTGCCATTGTTTTTTACCATACCAACGACGACTGATGTTATTCCATCTGTCTTCAAGGCAGTAGCGGCTGAAGCAATATCATCATCTGATGTTCCTACCACTATGGTTACTAAAGCCTTTCGTACATTTTTTCTACCACTTGCATCAAACAGAACTCTCTTAGTGTCAACCACAGCTTGTCCAAGAGAATGTCCCCTTTGTCCAGGGTAGGAAATTTGGTTGACAGCTTTATCCAGTGCGACTTGGCCGAAATGATCCTTCAGGCCAATCTGCAGTTTACCTGTATCGGTAAAGACCACCAAACCAACATGAACGGCTTTTTGAGATACAGCAAATGGTTTGTAGATGTATTTTACAAACTGCATAAGGAGTTTGAAACGATGTTTCCCAACGCGTTTCGAGCCATCCACCAAGAAGCCCAAGTCAAATGGAACTACAGAAATATGAAGAAATTTAAGGACACTCAAAAAACCAGAAGACCAAAATGGTTTAATTAATCTTCTCCAAAGTTTAAATATTTAGTTGAACTATTCGTTTTTTTCGATAGTATTTTTACATATCAAAAAAGAAAGAAACAAATATCATTTATGCAAAAACATGGAAAACAAAAAGATACATACCCGTTGGCACACCATCTGGACCAACAAGAGGATTTGGAGGCCGTCCTATTGGAGAGCCGATAGCTACAAAAAGATATATAATATTATATAGAACCTAACCAAATGGATTTAAAACACTCATTAATAATTCATAAACCTTGTGGCAAATCATGTCAGACATAATATGTCACGTGGAGTGACTTTATATCTGATAAGGTATGTGGCATTATATAATTGTTCATCCTGATTAGTATGATTATATAATGGTTCATCCTAATTAGTATTCTTTTGTAGTCGTATTTTAAGCTATTCAAAACACTCGTTGTCGTGTTTTATCAGACATAAAACGCACGGCTGCGCCTCGCGTTTCATATTTGATAAAACACTCGTACTCGTGTTTTAAATAGTACATAGAGACTTTTAGTCATGCAATACGTACATGCCAGACTAACACCAATTACTCTGACCATGGGCTAAATATCTGAATTTATTCCGAATTCCATGGGTGGCAATCTGGAAGTTACAGGCTAAGCCCTGTGGTTGCACCAGAAATTCCCCGACCGAGGCGCTATGTTACCCGACGGGGGGAGGGTTATGCAAATTTTTTCATGGTTAAGTATGTTAAAGTAGCAAAATTAATGAATATATAGGCTACTAACATATTTTATATACTTAAAATATACAATTGAGCCAACATGATGTGGTCTTTATAAAAAGTACGAATCAATATACGAAGTTTATACAGTAGGAAGTTCAGACACGCGTGTCCCTCGCGAAAACATAAAATGTTAGAAGTGTAGTTATCCATGATTTCCAAATTGGAGATGATTGCTGGTTCAAGTAGAAATATTCCGCAGAACACTTATTTCACGTATGAAGTCGTCGACATCCCCTTGAGTGCGCCAAGCGAGATAGACTAAGATATCTTTACTGTATTATAAGTTATTTACATAAAATGCGCAAGTATATGTTCATATATATTATGCGAAAGCTACATTTAGAATATGAGGTGTTTATAATGATGTCATGTAGCATACTATATTTATGTATTGATAACTAAACAGTTTGGAATGTCTAGTAACTAAACAGTTTGGAATGTCTGGAACTTGCGTAACTTGTGTACTATATTAGGAAACGTGCGTGACTATACGCACTAAAATCGCACCTTGCTAGCTAGTGCAGAAGTGAATAAATATTAACGTAAATTATTCATTAACATAATAACATGCGGGAGAACGAGCATGGCGACAAGATCGTGCTTTTCGGAATTCCTGCAAACTTTTTTCTTAGTTTCCCCGACGAATCTATTAAGCTATGGCTAGCTAGGGCTCCCGACAGGAAGGCTGTGCCTCCCTCCCCCCTCCCCTTGGTGCCACCACTGTGGAACTAACGAGGTTTTCCTTGATTTTAACAGTTGGTACAATGTAAAAACACAGAAATAACATGTTATGATGATCCCATAAATTACCTTCATTTATCTTGTCAACCAGGGGAGCAATAATGGCTGTAATGTAGATTACATACTGCTGGATGATTACAAAATCAGGCTTGGATGCAATAGATTTCAATTCTTTCACAACAGGGTTAACGTTCTTTCGAATTCCAATCACAACCAGCTTAGTGCCAGTCTTTTTAATTGCCTCAGCAGGCTCGATCGCGTTGTCCTTTAACTTTCCACCAACGAAAATAATCAGAACCCTGGGAATGCCCGCACGGGCTTTTGTGAATAGCTGGTCTTGGGCTAACTTGATAGCAGCCCCGGTATTCCTTCTCCCTGCTGGATAAGACAGTTTATCTACACCTGCTTGAAGAGTGGCGGAGTCAGTGTACTCGTCCAGTTGTATGACGACTTCGGATTTCAATGTTGTGACAGCAATACCAAAGTGTACTTCCTCTTGAGAGACTCTGAATGACTGAATGATCAGCTTGACAAGTTCCAGTTGTCGTTTGAAGTTCTCTTCTTGCACACCTCGGGAGCCATCCAAGATAATTCCTATATCAGCAGCTTTGATTTCACCACCTAGAAGAATGCAAAGATATGAATAAATTTTTATTATATGAATTTATCTTCGTGGATAAGATAAGTGTGTAATGGTTCATCGATATGTGTTGTTACCCAATTCGAACTTTCAGATTGTTCACTAGTTCTGATAATGTAAGCATATAGGATGGAACAAAAGTATACGAGCATTTAGATTAATTATATGTGAGTGAATTGAGAAACAATGACCACAAATACGCATTATATAAGCAGATAGCCTGCAAACCTGGTCCTCCTGGCACCAACGACTTATCAACAAGAATAATTATATCAATTTTCTTGTCTTCTTGTTTACTATCCAGCCATCTTCCAGCAGTGAATATGTAAAATGCGCCCGTCTTTTCGTCTTTAACTGTTATCTAGGTAGATGAACACAACTGTCAATTGTTGATACATTCATTCACCTGGATAGAATAGATCTACCACTTTCTCAACTTTCAGAAACAACATCTGAGCCATAATAGTGTAAGACGTACTTTTTCCAAAAACCAACCATCTCCATTCAAATTATCATGACGAATACGGATTTTAATCAATTGTCCAAGATCCAGAGATTCCAGTTTGAATTCTTCAGATCTGTAAAAAGACAAGAATGACGTATTAGTGAAGTCGACTGCAGATAAAACAAACACGATTATGGTATATATTAAGTTAAATGCATCCCTTAAAATAAAGAGCGGAAATTGCGAAGGTACCTCCGCCTGGAGGTTATGTTTTGAGTAGTGTTTGTACGTGTGTGTGTGTGTCTTGTGTGTGTGTGTGTGTGTGTGTGTGTGTGTGTGTGTGTGTGTGTGTGTGTGTGTGGTGTGTGTGTCTGTCAGAACGATTAAAAATATCAAACATATTAATACAAACACTCGTGAGACTAATGGACAAATGGGTTAAATGCGTAATTAGCCCACATTGTATAATTTATGCACGATACATAACTTAATCCCTGGCGGATGTATGCATTCTTCGAGTGCCCTCTAGTTCAAAATGTTTCTTTCCCTTACTGTGATTTTGTGAACAATGTTTTCCCGCCTTTTTTGAGATGAACTTCATTGGTGCTTCCTTTCTTGCCGAATATGGTAAGATAAACATTAGATGTGGTCCCAGCTCCTTTCACAGAGCCAGTATACACCGTCACAGTGAAGAGATGTTCCTCTGAAACTGGTGGAGTGGGAGGCGATGGTGGTCCAGACGGGCCAACTCCAATAGGCTGTCCAATTACTAAAAATACAGAGTATTTTGGAATGGTGAAAAAGGAGAAAACAACTGACAAAGTTAGATTAAAGGAAACTTTAATCTTGCTTAGATTCAAGTTCCAGGACTAGGTAAAGTTTAACCAAGTCTCTGAACGTGATGAAGTTTGATCATGTGCTCGAACTAGATAAGGTTTCATTAAGTCTTAAGACTAGAGTTAGTTCAATCGGTTCGATCAAGTCTTAGGACTGGATGAAGTTTGTTAAAGTCCTCAAACTGGGTGAAGTTTGGATGAAATCACAGGACTGGTTGAAGTTTGATCGAAATCTGAGTCTGCTATTCCTCTTTTTTTCTTAAAACGGACATAATGGCCTCGTCTTCAGGGGCCGATCTGGCCTAATTTGTTAGAGGGGGTGGTACGGGAGCATTCTCTCCAGAAACTGTTTGAAATTTAAATCCCTGAAATGTCATTTCCTGCATTTTGAGCACCATATTAATTCGTTACCACTCTGCACCCCACCGGTAGATCCGCCCCTGTTCGTCTTGCATTTCGACTTGCTCTCTTGCATTTAGTGATCTGAGGGTAAAATCGTAGATAGATTTGTTAGATACATTACATAAATTCTAATGATATCATAACACTTACCATCATTGATTTTATCAATGACAGGCTGTAGAATAATATTAATCTTGATAATGGTGGTAGTAGTTATAACAGCATCTCCTCCAGTAGCGATGATATTAAGTTGATTGACAGGAACAGAACTATCTGTGCCAACTGCGATAGTTTTTACACCACTTCCCTTGATGGTGTCACTAGGACCACGAACATCGTCAGAAGAACTTGAACCAAGGATTAGAACTAACACCTTAAAAAACAAAACAAAACAAAATTAGAAACGGGAGGAGGGGATGTTGTGAGTGAAGAACTCCAACCACCCAATATTAAATTGTTTGGATCGACTTTTGAGTGGGCAGCAAAATCATATCATTCTCATAACTGCCTATTGTAGGATAGTGTTTAGTGTTTAGTGAGACACGCTTCCATTATAGAACTGACTGAGGAAACTTTAATCTTGCTTAGATTTAGCTATACCCCAATTACTGTATACCACCTCGTGTTGCTGTATGCCAACTCATTTACCAAATTCTACCATAATGTATCTTCCCATACCTTAGCCGCTTCTCGTTTTGAGGAATCAAACAGCATAGTCTTGGCCTTAGAGATCGCAGCGCCGGTAGCGGAATTACCACCTCGGTATGGAGTTTGTAATATAACTGCACCAACGATGGACTTCGAGGTGTAAAGATTAAAACGGAAAGACAGTATTGCCTCATTTGATACTACGACTAGACCAATGTGGACACCGTCCAGGGAAACTGGGAAAGCATTAACAATGTCTCGAGCGAAATGTAATGCATGCTTGAAGTTTGCTTGTCCCATATTGTCAGAACCATCGATAATAAAACCTAGATCGACAGCAGCTAAGAAAAGGAAAAAAGGGTAACGTTATGAAAAAGCACAAATCGAAAGGAGAAATAATTGAGATAAATTGAATGACTCAACAACTGACTCGAGATCTGTTCGCTTGAACGATTACATTTGAACGCATGTCTGTTAGATCATCACCTACCACCTAGCAGATAGCTCAGTCGTGCATACGTTAGGTTTACCTGTGGTTCTTCCACCAGGACCTCCAGGAACTCCAGGGGTACCAGGGACACCAGGCAACGCACCGATATTCTGTCCAACAACTAGCATAATACAACATAAGTGTTAACAAAAGTTCAACATATAATTTAACGCTTAATTTTCCAAAGATCTTTTTCGCGACAAGAATATATACCAGATGGAAACACTAAGTGATTTGTTTTTGCGACAGAATTTGACGCGACGTGTAATAACTCGCTGACCAAATGAGAGAGGTGGAGATCACATGATTTATATCTTACGACCTTTCAATTATTAATCAATGCTTTTTCGTTGGATATAGCTAAAAGAATATATCTATTTACGGAATTCAATATTAAATTAAGTGTTCCATTCATTTTATTCGGACACATGCATGCACTGCATGTAATGTAGGACCTTACACTGCTTTGCACTGTACATGTTTTAAACTCGAAATTAAATATCACTATATAGTCTGATCTGTTTGCAACTGATGGCGTAGCCTGCATGCAGACCTTCATTTTTTGGGCGACGAAGCGAACGCCAAAGGCGTAAGAGTGCCCAGTGAAGTACGGGGAGCATACACCACCGGAAAAATTTTGAAATCTACAGTCCGTGAAATGCGATTTCAAGCATTTTTAGGATGAAATCTTGCAGAATTCCGAAGATTATATTAAAGTAAATCTAAGACATGAATTTTCCCAGACATTTCTCCTCGGAATTAAATAAATTGGAAATGTCACCTTGAAAAACAGGAGGAGGTGTCAGTGTCTCTTTCCCCTCTGTGATGCTGGGTGGGGGAGAAAATCCCAATGCGATTTTGATCAGAAATGTTGCATTTAAATAATTCTAGTTTCTATGAGACAACATCTCTGCATTCTCGAAATTGCGTTTCAAGACGTACTTAGTCAATTTCAGCTTCGAGCATGTAATGTGTACACCCTCCCTCCAATTTCTCTACAAATTTAGCCCTTTTGAGAAAATTATTTTTGTGGTGATTGGGGGGGGGGGGGCGGCGTCGCCCCCTCGCCTATACGCCAATGTCTGTTTGCCACCACCATATTACTTTGATTACATCGTGACTTCTGCAAAAATGCGTTAATTAAGTGCCTGTGGATTTGATTATACTTAAAATGCTCATTAATAATTATATCTGATAAAACACTCCTACTCGTGTTTTAAATAGTACATATACATATATATATAATTTCGGACTTGGACTCGAAATATTTAGTACTCGGACTAGTAAGTTGTGGACTCGACTACAACACTGTACAGAATGCACAACAAGTTTTTATTAGTGCCATGCCTTTCACGCTTGCAGGTTACCATTACAATTAGGCTCTGGGTTAGACGACTAAAGGGAGAGATCTGATCGCCTTCTCAGAGAACTGCTGTTTCGCAGACGTTGAGCAGTTTTCGCTAGGCAAAATTATTCTATCAACATATGTCAACACAAATACTTCGTTTCATCGTAATACTTCACTGTAAAAATTGTTACGGGTGCTAAAGCGTCCCAATTCAAAAGAAAGCGCTTTAGAAACTACTGCAAGTTTTCTTGCACTATCAGTTCTGTGTGCCCCAGGGCCTAGGGAGAACGCACGCGGCCGTGAGGGCCTGGAGACGAGGATGACATGTTACTGTACAGTCAATACACCTGATCAAGAAGCCTTTTGCATAAAGTAGTCAAGCGAATGCATTTCCATTAAACAAGCTGCTGTGTCAAAAGGAACCCCAGGAATGAAAAGATCACCTCAATATTAATAAAATTGCAAAGACTTTCTCAAGATTTATGTGGAAAATAATCTGGTGGTAAAACTCGCTCACCGGAGAATTTTCTCAGTGAATACCAGTATCACACACTAGTATTCAAGTAATGCAAAAAGAGAAAAATATTTAATGGGTGTTCACCTGAGTTTATTCGATCCACCAGTATCTGTGCTGTAGTTTTAATCGTGACATACGTCACAGATATGATGACGTCATTCAGTACTGTAGCTGGAGGAGTGTAGATAGTTTTATCTGTGTCACTTGTTATAGCGACCACGATCACACGATTGATTCCAGCAGTCTTTAGATCTTGACTCGGAATAGTAACGTCATCAGAGGATTTGCCCCCAAGAATGATGACAAGAATCTTGATCGCACCTGTTCGAGAGCTAGTTACAAATAGATCGTCTTTGACCTTGGCCATAGATTCGCCAACAACTGCATCACTACCAGGGTAGACTGTAGCATCGATAGCTGGGTCCATTGATAAGGAATCGGTGTATTTATTAAAACCAAAGATAACATTCTTTCCTTTGCTTGAAACAACAGCCAAGCCGACATGAATACCTTCTTTCGAGATAGAGAAAGCATGGACAATCATTTTGACGTATTCTAAAATGTATTTGAAGTTGAGGACAGTGACACGACTTGAGCCATCAATAAGAAATCCAATATCAATTTGTACTAAAATAGAAGAATAATTTGACTAGGTTTTTTCTTCATAACATTTATACTCAGAAAAAATTCTAAGCCTTTGGGAATGTAATAGTTACTTATATGATTGCAGCGTCTTTTCTATGATTGCAGCGAGATTAAAACTGCAGATAGGAAAAACTCTCATCAACTTTCATGAAACAAACTCACAGTTGACGAGATTGGATGAGAGTAAAAGAGAGTCGATGAGTGATGAGAGATTGAGAGTTGGTGGTCAAATGCAAACAAGAGTTGGCTGCACATCTCATCAACTCTCGCGTCACCATTATCATTTGATCGGGGCTTAACACCAACATATTGATTTGCTTAAAGTCAAGTATTTTTACACTTACACACAGGTCCTCCAGGTGTTGGCTTTACAGGAATAGGTGCAGGACCAGGTCCAGGGCTGGGACCTACCACATATTCTAAAGAGAAATCAATAATACTGCATGGTTAACAACTGAATACTATCTATCCACATAGAGATAAGCAAATCCTTGAGACGTAATTGTTGCCATAGCAACAACAGTTGTGTAGTGTTTGTGAAAAAATTCAAACCTTTTAGATGTTTTTCAAATCAGTAAGATGCTTTTTGCTTTCAACAAGTAATAATTGTCCAAAAATACGGATCTAAATCCTGAATTTTTTTTAAAACCGTTTTGAGCCACCTTAAAAAAGAATACTCTTTAAATGACTTTTTGCATTGAGTTCATAACAGTACAGTTTTTCAATGTTTTAAAATCAAGAATTCTTTTGTTTTTCATTTTGTAAGTTTTTTTTTAAAGGGACTGTTGCCTAGGAACAACATTTTCTGGAATGTTGAGCGCTAGGCAATTAACGCAATTGTTTTGTGTAATGCTTAAAACCCACCGATAGGAAGAATGTCTTAAATATTATTATCTACCTTTACAGATCTTTTTCTTAATCACGTGTAAAACGTCCGTTAGCTTGGCAGGATGCGGTGTTGAAAACACATGTTCAGGTTTTGGGACTGATGCTATCTCCTTTAGTATTTTATCGTCTTGTCGTATTCCTACACCGACGGTAAAAATTTCCACACCTTTAGAAAAAGGAAAATAGAATTAATAAAGTGCGTTGAAAATATAAACTAAAAGTGTCTTCTATAATATTGGATGCTGCTTTCACATGTGAATAAACATGATAATATCCAGAAAATTGCAGGAATTAAACGATGGTCGCAGGGCAGATGACCAACAACAATGTTCACCCCCAGCACTAATGCTAAAACCATCACTGTAGATTCATATGCACTTAGGCCTAACTAAAATTTCAAATAGTTATCTAGCTTACCTCGTTTCTTGATGGCTTGAGATGGAGTCTTAATATCATCACCATAAGTCAATGCATCAGTGATTACCACAAGTATCTGTTTCGCATCAGCTCGGGCTTTGGGAAACAGATCTGCATTGGCCATAATCAATCCACCACCCAGGAAGGTAGCAGTTCCAGGGAATTTCACCTTATTTATGTCCGCAATCAGACTATCACGGTTTTTGTGAGAATCGAAGGTGAACTCCACTCCGGCCTCAGATGCGAATACTACTAACCCAAATCGTGCATCATTAGGAGACATAATAAACTCGCGTACGAATTGCTTAACCAGACCCAAATTCCTGCGGAAACCACCACGGCTGTTGTATTCTGCACTAGCAGAGCCATCAACAAGAAAGGCGAGGTCGACTTTTGTTTTACATAAAAGCGGTAGTCGATTTTCTAAAAATATCGAAGAGGTGTTGATGACGATCTATATATATTTACGACAAGTATAAAATCAGACAAGTTCATTTCTCTGGTTAAAGTAATTGAATGCTTTGGTTAATTAAAGACGTTGTTTGGAAGCGTGTATTAAACATAAATATGGACAATCATGTTTTGAATAGGAATGATAGAAGTTACGAGTATCTTCGCCTTGCTGCATGATGACGTCATCTTACAATGAAGGCACCAGGCTAAAGTGTTGAAACGTTTGTTCGAAGTTCACTTTCATTCACTTAACCATAAGTAGCGAAGCATTTTAAAAAGAACAAAACAATAGACACTCCGAATATAGTTAACATTTTATTCAACGTTTCGACTAGGTTTCAGTCATCATCAGGAATGACGCTATTGAAAAATACTGAGATATATATTTACAAGTTAAGCGGATCAAATTACGCGCTAATTAAATATCACAAGTTCCTTAGAGGCTCTAGTTCCGTGATTAAGTTCCGGTTTTTGGCGATGTATAAGTAAGGACTCCTTATATAACAATAATGACCAATGTCTAGATTTATCTAAAATAACACAGTTTTGGTATATGATGGCTTCTGTGGTATGTGGATCAAATTGATCTTATGTGGTATGTGGATCAAATTGAGTAAGTAGTGTGTTGAAGTTTATCGCCATCAAGTTTAACGCTACCAGATCGAGTGACAAGAAACTGATCAAAGTCTCTGACAGACATGAAAGGAAATTCGCTGCGCTCAAACGCGAACATTGTATCCATACCGGAATCAAGGACAACCCTAATAACATTATAACCAATCTCACTAATGACCCGCTCAAACCTGAAGAAGAACGTGTCCTTCGCTTTGGACTCAAACATGGCCTTGCCACGCGACCCAAAGAATCAGACATCATTGCCGCAGCCGAGTCAATTTGGGATCAACTAAAACGTAACAGCTTGATTCCTGATAGCTTCATCAAGCAGCAAAAGATTAAGAACTCCATCAAGGCCTTAGCTTGCAACTTCTTAGACTTTGACGATAGACGACTTACTGAAGACAGCAAACACATTAAGATCCTGAAAGACTTACGTAAACGATACGCTATTCTTAAACCAGATAAAGGTAACGGTGTTGTACTTATAAAACTATCAGACTACTATAACAGTATGACTTCCATATTTTCCGACCCAACCAAGTTTCAAAAACTCGACAACGACCCTTCTTTAACCCAACTCTCTTCTCTACAAGAATATTTACGCACAATACATAAACGCAACGAAATTGACGATGTAACATACCGAAATATTCGACCACAATCTACGAGACCTGCTCGCGCACATGGACTTCCTAAGACACACAAACCTTTTGACTATCTACCATCTTTTCGCCCTATTATTGACACAACCGGTACTGCCTACCAACCTCTAGCCAAGTATCTCTCTTCTCTTCTCAACCCACTTACACACAACGAATTCAAACTTAAAGACAGTTTTGACGCTGTTTCACGCATTCTCAACATACCCACACACCTTTTTTCTCAAGGCTACAGACTAGTATCCTTTGACGTTTCTTCTCTTTTCACCAACATCCCTCTACGCAAAACTGTGAACATAATCTTAGACAGAATTTACAAAGACAAACGAATTACGACATCACTTAACAAACGAACACTCAAGAAATTACTTTTAGACTCATGCACCAAAACACCTTTCTCTTTGAATGGCCAACTTTACAGACAAATTGACGGCGTGTCTATGGGTTCGCCTTTAGGTCCTACTCTCGCTGATATTTTAATGACTGCCTTTGAGGACGAAATAGTCCGACCTCTTCTCTCTTCCAACGTAATTAAATTCTACTCACGCTATGTTGACGACACATTGGTACTGATTAAACCTTGTGACATACCTAACGTACTAAAGAAATTTAATTCCTTTCACCCACTCATTAAATTCACACACGAAGAATTCACTGACAACAATGATGTTCACTTTCTGGATATCAAAATAACCTCAACTGGCACAACAATATACCGCAAATCCACACACACAGGCCAATATATCCATCTCTCGAGCTTTACTCCTTGGTGCAGAAAAACAGCTTGGCTGAGAGCTTTAGTCCACCGCGCACACAAGATCTGTAGCAACATCGACCTCCTAAAGAACGAACTACAAAGGATTGCTGAGTTTGCATCTTGGAATGGCTACCCTCATCACATGACCAACAAACTGATCAACGCATTTTCACCACCACCTCTGAACCACGACATTGCTCCTGACAACAACAACACTGAAAACGAGAATACGCATCCAAAACCGCCCACAATCTGGATTCACCTTCCGTTCATTGGCAAGAGAGGAACTTCCCTTATACGCTCGTGCACCAACAAAATTTCCCGACTATTGATAGCCCGTCCCAAATTTATCACGATCTATGACACGACGAACAGCAACACCTATCTTAGCCTAAAAGACCGAACGGATAAAGAGCTCCAAAGTAGTGTTGTATACAAATTTAGCTGTCCTGGTTGTCAATTGTCGTACATCGGAAAAACTGACCGCTGCCTCAGAACAAGGATTAAAGAACACTCCTCCGACAAAAACTCAGAAGTTCACAAACATATTATGTCATGTGAACACTTCCAATATTATCAGACTCTACTAAACCTACCCAACACACTACTTGCTCAATTTGATCCACATACCACAGAAGCCATCATATACCAAAACTGTGTTATTTTAGATAAATCTAGACATTGGTCATTATTGTTATATAAGGAGTCCTTACTTATACATCGCCAAAAACCGGAACTTAATCACGGAACTAGAGCCTCTAAGGAACTTGTGATATTTAATTAGCGCGTAATTTGATCCGCTTAACTTGTAAATATATATCTCAGTATTTTTCAATAGCGTCATTCCTGATGATGACTGAAACCTAGTCGAAACGTTGAATAAAATGTTAACTATATTCGGAGTGTCTATTGTTTTGTTCTTTTTAAAATTACTCAATGGCAACCGTAATTTCTAGCGAAGCATGTCTGATGTTAAACATGTAGCTGGTTACCGTGAATTCATAAATTTTAAAATCAACCATTTCTTTTGTTTACAACTACAAGAAAGGTTTAATGATACTGGTAATTTTTATCCAGGGCAAGCAATTTTTGTCGGATACTGTTTATCCGGATACCGGATGGTACTGGATAGTAGTCCATTGGATACCGTTATACCGGATACTAATTTTGGCACTTGGACCATGCTTCACTACTTTGTCCCATAATATAGTCCATTGTTTAGTTTGTACTTATGAACATACATATCAGTGGATCGGGATCCGACACATTTCTAATGATGTGTTATTTAACTTTGTCTAATTGTGAGTCACTATACGAAAGAGTTATAAACACAATCACCTCCAGGTTTCTGAGGTACAGAAGGTTTTGTGCCCGGTGTTGATGGAGGAAGCTTGGTATCAATCACGGTAGGTATTATTCCAATACCTGATCCATACACTAGAATGAAAGTTAAGAATGATCAATAATTTAGGAAAGAATTGAATCCTCATCGCAGAGGTCACAGGCACATATACCTATCTATCATTCTGTTCATTGTCTTGTTACCATGCCTCTACGGCCCCACTTGAACATATTATTGGGGGTTTCGGTAGCACAATTGTCAGAGAAAGCACCTTCACCTCTGAGACCGTGGGTTTAATTCTCGCGCTGCGGACTAAAAACACTTATATGCAGAGTCAGTCAACGCTCTACCGAAAGTCGTGGGTTTTCTCCGGGGATTCCGGTTTCCTCCCACTGGATATGTTGACAGGGTGGTTTGGGATAAGTTTTAAACTGATTCTTCCACCGTAACTGTGCTCTGTATCAGACATGAGTCAAAAGCTAGTTGGCTTAGAAAGCCTTCGACTCGACCAGGTTGGCTTACGTCCTACATAATGCAGCTTAACTCTCAGCTGCATGTAAGGATCATTAACACACCCTAACTTACTCATTCACTCGCTTAGTGCCCGAGTAGACAGTGGGGCTTCGGCCTGAAACTCACATAGGCAAACACACTCTTTTGACTTTTTTAGGGAGCTTTTTAATCAAATATCTAATATGAAAATCTAACCTGCATTGATCTTTCTCACAATCTCAGGAATCGAAAGTGCGAGTTTTGATAAATCAGAGTTCACAATAACATTCTGTCCATCTCCAGCGATCATTCTTAACTCATCTTGATTAATCACCGAACCTACTCCCACAGCAATTGACTTAACCCTGGCCCGATGCAACTCTTTCGTCATACTCTTGATGTCGTCACTCGATTTCCCTGCCAAAATTGAGACGAGAATCTGTGGAACCATTCCACGCCTTCCGGAAGTAGCCAAGACATTTCGTATGGTGACAGATATAGCACTGCCAACGTTGCGATTTCCGCCAGGGAAGGTGACATAATCGACATTCGTGTCGATTTCTGTCATTTCTGTATCTTTGTCAAAATGGAAGGCGACTTTTCCAGCGTTAGAAATGACAATAAGTGCGATTCGGATCTCTTCTTCGCTAATAGGGAATGCATGGTAAGTTCCTTTTACAAGACTTAAGAACTGGATGAAGTTTTGTTGACCTACGCTGCTTGAACCATCCACAAGGAATGCAAGATCAAGACGGGCTACGGAAAAACAGTATATTTAGATTAGTAAACCGATTTTATTTACACTGAATAGCTCAATCAGTTATAAACTGTTCCTATCGGAGGTCTAGTGGGACTCAATCGTCGTCTATTACAAAATCCATCATTCTGATTGGCTACTCAACCAGGGACCATTACGTAACGGGCAACGGTTGAGAAAAAGTACAAAATACGGTTTGAGATAAGATTTTTAATGGTAAAAATCAAAATTAAAAACCGCCTTTTTTATTAATAAATCTGCTTTTACTGGCTACAAAATGTGACACGAAGATAAACGGAATTTTTGTGCATATTAAAAGCAAACCATATTGTTTACAATTTGAAAGTCTTGTTTATAAATTAATGTACTCCAAAGTGTGCGTGAATACACTAATCACTATACATAATATACTAAAAAGACTGTTTTCTAAAATAGATTGTGCATGGTGTATTGATGCACACTTCTTCGGAATAACATTAGTTTTGTATTTGCTAAAATTATCAGCCGGTTTTCTCCCCCTATAATTATCAAAACTGCGCTTGTAATCTGTTATACGACCTTGTTAAAAGGCTCACAAGCTGAATATTTTCGCTTCGTTGTATATAGTTAACTCAAGCTATACGCCTAACGCCTTCGTTGATTATTCGCTCGTACGCAACTCGACCGCGTTGTCTAATTGTTAATTGGCCCGTGTCACGACAGAAGACGACCAACGTACCATATAGGAAATCGATTATTGTTAATATTGCATACCTGATTTCTGGGTAGTAACAACAGTGACTGCTGTAGCTAGAGAGGAAAAAAGCAAGTTAATCTTTCCCTTAAAAAAGTACAGTTATAGAATTCCCTCCCTTCTCATGCTGTGAATTCACCAGCTTATCCATTTAAAAAAAGCTTAGCTTATTATTTAATACTTAGATGATATTTTTATGTATTGTATTTATATTTATTCGAAAGCATTAGGCTACATGATTCTGATGTTGTGCACTCAGATGAAGATATACGTTTGTAATGTTGTCTCTGAGTGTGTCCACACTGAAAAGTTTGCTTGACCTCGGTGAGAATCGAACCCGCAGCCTTTGGTTTGCTAGTCCAATCCTCTACCAACCGAACTCTAAGGTCAAGTCGATTCGAGTGGGTGATATTTATTTTGTTTTTTTAGCAGTTATAAAAATGGGAATTTGTTTTCCCGCTGTTGTTATCCCTCCATACTTATTTGTTTCATTGTAACTAATGAAAATCGTTTTTGAAATATTACAGACACGTGTTTGTTCTTGTTTTGTGGGATTTATTATAGACACCTAAAAGGAATGCTTATGTGGAAGAGAAGACGAGGAGGTTATTGCGGGCACTTGGCTTTACGGTTAGCCACATTAGTACTCGTTAGTTACTAGAACAACTTTAATCTTACTTGGTGGAGCAGGAACAACAGGTAGGACTGGTGGCTGAACAATAGTCACTGTTGGTGGAGTCACAGGAGTTTGCGTACGAGCTATCTCACCCAATATACCACCTACAGAGAAAACATCATATAACGCCTCATTAAATTCTGGTCATTTAATTGGCAGATTATGATCACATGACATGGAATTAATATTACCATTTTACTATCGTGCAATATAGTACAAAAGTAGTACTTGTACTATTCAGCGGTAGGGTTTAATTAAATTCAATCATTCAAAATCCTATTCGCATCATAATCGTACCTCATTTAACTATAATTATTATACTGAGACCGATGGAATTAAATTCAGTTAACATAACTCGTGCGTAGCAAAATAGCGGGTGTAAAAATACAATATTTTTACGATAATTTTTTACAATAATTTTTACGATAAATTTCCGCCATTATCATATTAATTCTTCACTAAAACGTTAGTTGGCACATTTTTGTTGAATGTTAAGAATATTTGAACAAAGTATGTATTTGTTTTGTATTTAATTCACTTAAAAATTCGATAAAATTGATCTATCTTCAGTATTTTGGAGTCTTATGTTCAGAGTGTTAGTCAAGATCTCACCAAGTAATCAACTGTGTATCCTAAATACTTGCAAATTACCCATGGTAAACCGTTAAAAAATCTGCGCAACTCTGAAAAAGTCTACCTTATACAAATAATGTTTTCATTCGTACAATACTAAAATTTATATAGTTAGAATTAAGTTAGAATTATTCTAAAGTTAGAATTTTCCATTCTATTGGACTTGAGCAGATTTTTTAACGGTTCACCATGAATAATTTGCAAGTATTTAGGATACACAGTTGATTGCTCAGTGAGATCTCTTAACCAGGCCGTAACTACAGAGGGGTTTGGGGGTATGGGACACCCCACCCCCCAATATTGTAATATTGTAGTTTCGTCGGGCCAAAAATAAGTAATTGAGCAAACAATTTTACATATATAATTTATTTAAACTGATTATTATATAAAGTATAGTGCTTTATAGAGATTTCGAGCACTGATAAAAGTGATAATCTCACATGTGAGATTATTTATGATAATCTCACATGTGAAAATTATCGCTTTTCAATTATCGCTTTTCAAAGACTGTTCTTTATATAATAAACAGAGTCGTGAGATATCAGGCGCTCACTCGTGAGATATCATGTTCAACACTCAAAATAAATCTGGTATTTCCAAGCACCCATGTATTATTCTCATGTAATAGTAGTAGGGGAAATTTTGATAAATTTATTACTGAGATATTTTACAAATTAGCCCCATTTTTGTGGGGCCCCAGTTATTTTTTGGGGCGAAATATTTGTGTTTTGGGGCAAAGTACCGAAATTTGGTATGGAAAAATTTGGAGAAAGTGTCACGAAAGCAATTAAAGCGTATACTCGTCCGGAAAATTCCCCCCCCCCTAAAAAGTTGTCGACGGGGGGATTGGGGGATAGGTTATTGTGCGGAAAAAATTTTTTAGTGACTAAAATGTCCGTTGGGCACGACGTCGACCACGCCCTTTTTGTCGGGCAAAACAAGCTCAATTTGTCGGGCAAAACAATACCGAAGTTTCGGCCCTGCTCTTAACTAACACTTTGATTAATTAAATTAATTCACTGATAAACCTAAAAGTGCGAGATTATGATCGTGCATGTTTAAAGAGCACGAAGGACTGCATACAGGTCCTATAAATGATTATGTAGATCTCCAAACTGAATATTTCCTTACCCTTGGCAGCAAACTGAATGTAATACGCGGAGCGATAGTAACGCATTTCTTTCATGTAGCCATTAAAGAAAGTCGCTGGTTGAAGACCTGGTATATTGCCGATGTATACGGTTCTTGCCGAACGATCTGAAGGCACTGCGCCTGAAATGACTTGCTGGCCTTCAAGTTTAGAGTCTACGAAGATCTTGTAGCTATAAAATATATTTATGAAAATAATACATTAAATTGTGACAATCGCACTACTCTATGATAACTTTATGATACAGTCTTTTAACTCCGACCAATACCACAGGTTTTCTGCCGGTACTTTAGTTTGCTCCAATTGTGAAACTGGTCCAACAAGATATTATGACCGTTACTGAATCTTTATGAACTTTAGGAATTATAGAACTATATCCAGCATATATATATATATATATATATATATATATATATATATATATATATATATATATATATATATATATATATATATATATATATATATATATATATATATATATATATATATATATATATATATATATATATATCTCTTCTATATATATCTGGAGCAAGAACTTCAGTCATTCGGCCTATGAGAAAAGGGACCTTAAGCATCTACGACGGCAAAACAAACTTCTTCAAATAAATTATTGCGAAGAAGTGTTGTTATGTATTATCCACTGCATGTATATATGAATTGAGTTCAATTTGAAGAGATTAAAACAAAGGCTTTGTGGTTGAAAACGCTTCTGCCGAGCAAATTTATAGTTTCACTTGTCGCATCTTGACATGTTTGCGTTGTACACGAGACGTGAAAATCTCTGGTTCGTCGTTGTAAAAAGCCCTAACAACAACGTCTCTAACTCCCGTGGGGCTTTTAATTTTCATTTCTTTTGTACGAGATCAGGAATATCATTGTGTGAATAGCCGTCGTCGTCCTGTTTGCTTAAGGTGCCTAAAAGTGAAGCCAAGACGGCAGCCGTTGACATCTAATAGCTCTGAAGATCGTAAACAGTTTTAATAACATTTTTTCCAGCGAAATCTAGTTTTTCTAACGAATTGTATCGCTAAACAAGTTATCAATTCATAAAACCATAGTGTTATTCTTTAAATTGATGTCAAAATACCAAATTTCGAAACACTCCTTGCCAGCCGCGCAAACAAAAACAACATAGAAAGGGACTGGAACTGACGTCAATTTCCTTCAATTTCCGCCATCTTGGATTCACTTTTTGGACCCGAGTTTTCACTCCAGATATATATGGAGCTCACTGGATACAAGTCGCATGTGAAACAACTTACACGGCAAGACGTTCCTGTAACGATTCTTTTCTTTGTTCAAAGCTCTTTTACCACTGGGACAGTTGTCCACAGGTGTCATTTCACGCAATGCCTGCAAAATACACAAGACAGTTTCATACATATATTCTCTTTCCTTCCTTCTCTGTGAAGTATTGACAAGTTAATCTGAAGGGACTCTGGCTCGCGAGGATATCTCCATCAAGGTAGACGACTGCAATAACCAACAGTTTGATAATTTACCTGAAACTCGCCTGTAGCTTTCCCAGACGAAATAGCATTCTGTAATTTCTCAATAATATTTTGTAAACGTTGCCCAGAGTAAAAAGAACTCGTCCCCAGGATCTCCAGCAACGGTCCAGACAGCTCAACAGACTTCGACCTATAGCAATGACAAACAAAATTTTAATTATATCTTCGCTATCCATTATTTAGTTTAGTTTTCCTCCTGTAGTAACACTGGATCAATAAGAGATGATCCCTACTGAACCTCTAGAGCGAACAGTTTAGAACTGATAGAGCTATCCAGTATAAATAATGTTAGTTTAGTTTAGGTTCCCTCCTGTAGTAACACTGGATCAATAAGAGATGATCCTTACTGGACCTCTAGAGATGTAAGCAAAAGTACAAAACACTTCAGCTGAATTGAAAATTGACATACATACCTTCGAGTGATTAAAGGTGACTTCGGTCTCAATGGAAAATCAAAACGTCCTTTGTTCTCCTGTTTTACAACTTCTGCAAATCGCTCCCTCATTGTCATAGGATCTCTGGGGGTCACCTTTTGTCCCGTATTATCACCGAGATCTTCATCTGAAGGTAGTGGGGTAGTGGGCAAAGGAGGGGGTACTTCGGGGGATGTTGCTTGTGATGAGGGCGCAGCTAGGGATGCATTGAGGAATGACTCGGGGATTAGAGGGGATACAGATCCCTCAGGAAGACTCATATTTGTCTCAGCCATTGTATCATCCATTGATATCCTCGCATCATCCGTTGATACCCTTGGATGTTCGATCTTTTTGTCCCTTCCCAATACAGACATTTCAATATTTTCTTGTTTTGACGAAGTCGGAGATTTTGGGTCATGCATTTGCTCTGAAATTCGAGGAGAAATACTGTTTGATAAAGTACTGCCCGCTTTGACAGGGATTCGTGATCTTTCGGAAATATTGCCTAAGTGGGAAAAAGAATAACACCTTGTTAGAATACAACAAGGCGGTTATGAGAGTAACCACTATCTCCTACTGGCTTAACACGCAATTAATCGGGTAGATTAAATAAATCTGATTGGTCAGGCCAAAAAATTAAATAACTGGGTTTCCTAATTTTTATTGCAAAATGGTCCTTACACCCGTTTTCAAAATTACACGACCAAGGACGAAAATGCTAGAGTTGACATGTCAGTTTTATGTCATTCGGTCACGAAGTTTAAACTTTGAGTTTTGCGGTTCCTTGTCGATGTATATGCTTTGTATGCTTTATATAAACATGCTTACAATGATTTACAAGATATTTTAGTGAGAATTATTGCAAAATTTAAGCACAAACAAAATCATAACATCACCGTTATAGTCTAGCGCGCGTGTTTTATACTGACAGCTAAATTCCAGGATAAATTGTTATTTTTCAAACTTTAAAAGTTATTCACGGCACATATTTCTGTTGTGATGGTTTGTATTGTGCTTTAGTTTGTATATCTAAGTTATCTAACTCATTTTTGTCCAGTTTTGGTATTAAATACGGTTTAATTTTTTTTTTTTTTTTATTGTTTGTTTACGTTTGCTATTTTTAGCAGTTTTTGTGACATAAAACTGACATTTGAAGTAAGAGTATTTTTCAGGGAGGTCGCATAATTTTGAAAATGGGTCTTAATATTAAATATTGAACCCACCGGATCTGACGCGATCAGATTCAGGACTTGGTGTATACTGCAAATCTTCCAATTCCTCCAGAAATCCATCCTCGCTAAACGTGATGCTCGTTGTATCATCTTCGCTGGTAGCTACTGGATTCTCATCAATGTATTCCATAGGATTCCAAGTTCTAAAAAAAGGTGAGGGGTAAAGTGAGACATTGAGAGGCATTGGGGGACACCAGGGAAGAAAACGGTGTATTTATCATGATCATATATATACCGGAAAACAGTATACTTATGGGGAAGAACTCGGAGACCCAGGGGGATTCGGAGACCCGGGGGGACTCGGAGACACAGGGGAACTCGGAGACTCAGCGGGAACTCGGAGACCTGAACACTAAAAAGTATGTTGAGAAAACGTCAGCTAAGCATATTAATATGATTTGAGGTATTTTAAAACATTGCAAAGGATCTCACTTCCATTCAACAGAAATTTCCACGGACAGAAAATTTTCAACTTGTGACGGCCGATCACATTTTACAAAATTTTCTTTCTGGGGAAAATGTTCCTGAATGGAAATGGGCCTTAACCAACGGCTTTATGAAGCGCCTACCCATTGTCTGCTGCGTTCAAAACATCATCAGACTGCAACTGCACAGATGTAGGTGGCTGCGGCCAAGACTCAAATTTCTCCTCATCAGTGTCCATAGACTGATCGTCCGGGTTTTCTACAACACCGGGCTGTTGTAACGGCTCGCGGGGCCTTTCCTCCGTGGGGCTTGGTAACGATTCTTGGCTATCCGACAGAGGAAGCTCCTGCTTCGTATGTAAAGCATTGAGAACTATACCCACGTCCTCTGAGAAATCTGGCGTCTGTAAAGAATAATTTGACAAGTTCAATCAAAACAATTAAACAATCTTTATCTCTTCATTTTATCATACTGGATAGCTCTATCAGTTCTAAACTGTTCTTCCTAGAGGTCCAGTAAGGATCATCTCTTATTGATCCAGTGTTACTACAGGAGGAGACCTGAACTAAACTAACTTTATTTATACAGGATTGCTCTATCAGTTCTAACATGTTCTTCCTAGAGGTCCAGTAAGGATCATCTCTTATTGATCCAGTGTTGCTACAGGAGGAAACCTAAACTAAACTAACTTTATTTATACTGGATAGCTTTATCAGTTCTAAACGATTCTCCATTGTACATCTCGTGTTTCTTACACAAGGTTAATTTTCACAACATACCGTAACAGGTGATATCGAGGTATCAAGACCGTCTCCTTGACCAGTATCACGTATGAGGTTGTTGACGTCAGGTTGCCTTGATAATGACGTAGAAAGTTCGTCATCATCGTCGCCATCCTGGATCCTGTAAAATCAGTTAAAAAAGATATACCTTCTGTAATGTTTTCTAATGTAGCAGAAACATCTTCAAATTCTGACGTCTCCGCAAATGTCTACGTTTGTTCACTCTGGAAAATACTGTAGCACAAATATACCTTAGTAATTCCAGTTTGATATTCCCGGACAGACTTCGTAGCAAAGTAATGACTTGACTGTGATCCAGTCTCTCCACGTCTTCGCTGTTTACCTTTAACGATTAATACACAACATTTAGTGAAGTAATAAGGAAGTAAATTAATGCATAAAGGCCAATTTACACTACACAACGTTTGCCCACTTCAGTTGCACTGTAAATCAAGCACAAAACTCGCCTATGTTGTCGCGTACGAAATGCTCCTTACTGGACCTCTAGGGAGAACAGTTTAGAACTGATAGAGCTATCCAGTATAAATAAAATTTTGAGTTTAGTTTAGGTTTCCTCCTGTAGTAACACTGGATCAATAAGAGATGATCCTTACTGAACCTCTAAGAAAAACAGTTTAGAACTGATAGAACTATTCAGTATAAATAAACTTAAATTAGTTTAGGTTTCATCCTGTAGTAACACTGGATCAATAAGAGATCATTCTTACTGGACCTCTAGGGAGAACAGTTTAGAACTGATAGAGCTATCCAGTAGAAACTAAAGGAGGCTTAGCTGGCCTTAAGCTACCTTCATCAACTGATCTCCAACTTTAATCTTGCCATCTTCTGCAACAATACTGTTCGGTTGAATACTGCGGATAAATAATCCTGAAGTCTGTGAAAATTGGCAGAAATAAATTAATATAAGTTAGTGAACAAAGGAGGCAGATCAGGTTCTCATCCTGCTCGCTAAGTTAACTTACATCATGAACAGTTTGACCAGAGAATAAACTAAAGCCCAGTCCTCGAGGCCCCTTTTCAAGAGATGTGATAATGACTTCCTCCTAAAATAAGAAAGAACTTTGTTGATATCGCAAGTTATTAAAATATTAACTAAAAATGCTCAAATTTGCTCCTGTAGTAACACTGGGCATGACTCTTACTGGACCTCCAAAGAGAGTAGTTTATAACTTATAAAGCCATCCAGTATAAAAACTAACTAGTAGTAGTTTAGTCATAACCAACCTTCAAAAGCAGGTCATCGTCATCAGATGGGTATTCCTCGTTCTCAGGCCCTAGTGTCGCGTCAGCGTCCCTTTCTCTAAAATCAGATGACGTCAATTTTTCCTCACTATAACTATCATCCGCTGACAACGTTTCCATGCTATGTTTCCCATTATAGTTTTCCTGCGCAGGTTCATGCGAGCCATCCGGTTCCGTCGACATTTCATACGGTGATTCTTTTGGTAGATTTTCAGAGGACAAAATGCCGGGGATTCGGAGTTCCGGGGTAGGTTGAAATTCCGGGTACAAAACCCCAGATGGTAAATTCTCTGGTGATGTTTCATCAGAAGGCAAAAAGTCAGGGTTATACGAATTTTTACCCTGGGTAAGATTCTTCTGTGTTGGGACCACAGTCATTTTATAACCATGAGCCCGCGATGTGTCCGTGGGTACTTCATGATCAGATTCCGTAGGGGAACATAGAACGTATTTTGATTCAGTTTCACTACGAAATTGTTTGATGACTAAAGTCACCACTGGTCGAGCGCGTTCCAGACATTCCACAGCAAACTTGAGATCATTGCCGTCCACTCTTTCCCCGTTAATCTAAGAAAGGGAAATTAATTTAGCGAAACAAGAAATACACTGACCTTAATATAAAACTAGATTTACTACCGATTTAACTAAAAGCAAAGCTGTAACATATTATGGTAGGAATTTAACAGTTGAGATGCATCATACGTTAAAATAATGTAGTTATCTGATATTTTAAAAGCTTGAAAACATTTTAAAAAGAAAAAGAGAATTCGAAGACATATGATTTCCCCTTCTAACAATGTTTCAATGATTTTCTTCATCAGTGAACCACTTTTCGCCATCCACTATAACACTCAGATCAGTGGTCATACCTCTAATATAACGTCGCCCTGCTTCAGTCCTCCATCTTTGGCCGCGGGTTCGTCAGGTATCACTTCCGCTGCATAGATCTGACCTTGCTTATCCTCAGCCAAGGTCAAACCAATCACACCACGCGTTGTTCTGATCACTGAGATTGTTTTAATATTGAGACCATCTTTCGTTTTACTTTTCACCTAAACAAGGGTCAAGGTGAGGGAAAATTTGTTAATTTCAATTTATTCTTAAACTCAACAAACTAGTAGATCGTTCTATCAGTGATCCAGCAAGAGTCATCCTTTAACTAACTTTATTTATACTGTATTAGCTCAATCAATTCTAAACTGTTCTTCGTAGAGGTCCAGTAAGGGTCGTCTCTTATTGATCCAGTGTTACTACAGAAGGAAACCTAAACTAAACTAACTTTATTTATATTGGATAGCTCTATCAGTTCTAAACTTTTCTTCCTAGAGGTCCAGTAAGGATCATCTCTTATTGATCCAGTGTTACTACAGGAGGAAACCTAAACTAAACTAACTTTATTTATATTGGATAGCTCTATCAGTTCTAAACTTTTCTTCCTAGAGGTCCAGTAAGGATCATCTCTTATTGATCCAGTGTTACTACAGGACGAAACCTAAACTAAACTAACTTTATTCATACTGGATAGCTCAATCAATTCTAAACTGTTCTCCCTAGAGGTCCAGTGAGGATCATCTCTTATTGATCCAGTGTTACTACAGGAGGAAACCTAAACTAAATTAACTTTATTTATATTGGACGACTCTATCAGTGAACCTGACGGCTAATTCGTATCCCAATCCCACTCCTGACCCCAGACTTAAATTTCAAACTACACACAGTTTCTACCTTATCAGGTCTACGACGAATCACGAGATGTACTTCGTTTCTTGTTGATCTCAGTATATTCACCGCTTCCATGTGTCTCTTGTTCGTAGTGTCTTGTCCATTCACCTGGAAAAATAGAAATCTCTCGCTCAGCCTGATGCTACCCAATTACTATCTGAGCAAAGTGAGAGGGGACCTAACTTTAACGATGGTTTGGTTTCACTAAGCACTATCGTGCAGCAGATGGTGATCAACCTGCAGTTATCAGAGTGAGAAAATGTTAATTCTTTAATTGTATATCGTAGTCTTGTATTTGGAAACAAACAGTCAGTGTTTAAACAGTCGGGCAGAATCTACGTAAAGATCGAGCATTTGGCCAGGCCTGCCCGCCTCGGTTTTGTGTATTTTCTCATAATATCGATGTTGACATATTAATATTTATCTTGAACTGTCTCTGCCAGTGTAGGTAGTGTCAAAAGTATTAAGAGGAGATTTTTTGTATGTTACGTAACACGCGCTCAAAACTAATGCGTATATAATATACCACTTGAGGTTATGACTAAATTCAAAATTTTTATTTTTCGATACGTTTCTCAATCGGCAAACAAACTTAAAAAGTATGTTTAGTGCTTTATCTGTAAAATAATACTAAAATGAAGAGATTTTAGATGATACGCCAAAGAGAAAATGATGCCTGAAGTTCAGTAAGTTTTGCTTATATGGCTGTAAATATGGCGTCAATTTTAAAGAATCATTAATAATTGTATTTTAATTGACAATTTTTAACTATTATTTTATGTTTCTAAACCGGCAGACGCATTTAAAAAGGTTGCTAACTCTATAAACTAGAGAATCAAGCTAAAACAAAGTAATTTTGAGAGGAACGCCAAAAAGATTTTAGGTTTTGAACACTTTTCATTGCAAATACGTGACATTGAAAAAAATTGCCTCTTAACAAGCTTTCGTTGATAGGGATGCAACTACCTGAAAATATAAGGAGAATGTCGCACTTGACTAGTAACTCCAAACGAATTAGGGCCTTCGCTCGAAACGTCGAAATTCTCCTTATAGTTTTCAGGTAGTTGCATTTCTACCAACGAGAGCTTGTTCACATTAATATTTAGTGATCAGAGGAACTGAATGACAGATTGAAATTTCTTTCATTCACAGCAGGCGTTTTATTTGAAAAGTGCAAACTATACTAACCATAACAATCTGATCTTTCGGTCTCAGTCTCCCGTCAGATCTTGCCGGATCACCGATGATTTCCCGGACAAAACACCCCCCTACGGTATCCGCCCCTCCTGCCAAGGTAAAGCCCAGTCCACTGGAACCTTTATGAAGAACAATGTCTAGAACCTGAAGTTAAACAGAGAATTTAGTATTGAACACTTCTTGACCGAGAGCGAGGGAAACAGTATGTTTTGTGCACCAGAGACTGACAATGATTCCCGGGAAAAGCCACGGAAAACACTGACGGCCGAGAGTCGACGAAACACACTGCTTCCCAAAAGTCCCAGTTTAAGTATTTTACTATATACAAAGTGTTATACACACACATAATATCCAGGGGTCGGTTGTTCAAAGCTGGGTTAGCTTAACCCTAGGTTAATTTAAAATTCAAAGCAAACTTCCTGACAGCTTGTCTATAAATTTGGAAATATTTCTTCTGAGATCTTGTCTGGATCGATAGGAGTTTTCTTCTCTTGGCCCGGTTGTTCAAAGGTGGGTGAGCGCTAACCCTGGGTTAAAATTTAACCTGCTGTTTTAGTTTGTGTATTTCTGCACGTTTGTTTCTCTCAAAACGTCAGAGAAGAAAACTCCTATCGATCCTGACAAGATCTCTGAAGAAATATTTCGAAATCTATAGACACGCTTTCAGGAATTTTGCTTCGAATTTTAGGTTAACCAGCTTTGAACAACTGGCCCTTGAAGTTTGGAAATAAATTGAAAATTTTGAAATTCACCCTTTCCGTCGACCCGCGAATTTTAGGGCGGGCGAAACGTAGGTCTGTTATCAGGCTACTTCGAAGTGTCATGATCAAAGAAAGCAGTCTTAATCTTTCAATAAAACAAACCTCTTCTGGAGGAGCCAACTTTTCTTGTCTATCACTTGGTAACGTCCTTACATCACTCGTCTTTCTCTTCCCCTTCATTTCACTTTCATCACGAAGACCCCCTCCGGTTTGTGAGTTAACAAGTACACTTTCCAGGGGAGATGGAATCTCTTCTTCCACCAAAGGAGTGGAATCTGCCATACTTTTAAACTTTCTACTTAAATCACCACCCTCGATGACTTGATCGTCGGACATACTATCGGAAGAGAGCCCCTCCTGGAATTCAGATTCTAGGAAGATATCTTTCTCATCTGAAGTTGCCAATGGCGAACGTCCCACCATCTCTTCGGTGTCTGTCCGAGGGTCGTAGCCCCGGTGATAACTTTCCGAGGTCATATTTCCGTTGTTCGATAAACGTTTAGTAGGGGTTTGTGAGCCTGAGTCATTCTCCAATAGTTCACTGTTATTCCTGCTTATCTTACCATTATCCAGTGATGTATCCTCATTGCCATAATTACCCCAATTTTTTTGAGAATCGTCTTGGGATAATCCAATCTTATCCTTCAAAATTCTACCATTATCCCCGTTCTTCAGTCCACTACCCATTTTTGTCCTACCCTTATCCAAAGATCTATCTTCATGACCAAAATTATCCTCATACGTCCGAACAGTGTCTTGAGGTAATTCATGTTTATCCTGCAAAATCCCTTTCGCACTGGAACTCTTTTGCTCGTCAGCATCACGCGGCATTACGTGAGCATTCCGAGACATTATGTCAACATCACGAGGTTCGAGAATCTCACGTGAGGACGATTCCTCGTTCTCAGGCGTATTATCATGCGCGGAATGATGGGAATCGTCTCGGTCGAGTCTCGAGTGAATGGCCGAAAGGACCTCATTGGGGTCGAAGTTCTGGCTAAAGCTACCGCGCCTCAGCAAACTGGGAGGAATGGACGACGGATCACGCTTGACAGTTAACACGACACGCGTGGGCTGGTCTCGCAACACGTTGATGGCGTCACGACTGGTTTTTCCCGCCAAAGGTACGCCATTTGCAGCCATAATGACGTCGCCTACACGAAGTTTCTCGCTGTTCTCCGCTGGCTGACCAGGGAACATCGCTTTTATTCGGAGCTTATCTAAAAACGAAGTAACCGTCAAATCACTGATCTATATATAAACTGTATAGTCTGTAATTAATAATAAACCTATATAATTAACCTATGAATTAATTAAAGTATATAATTAACCTATGAAGGATCCTTCAAAGCCTCCTTCCATTCAGTTTAAAAAACAGAGATCAGAGGTATACCTCCATATTCGTCTCGGCAATCAGTTCCTCCGACAAGACTCATTCCCAGACCTCCGATTCCTTTCATCAACAACACCTCGAACACAGTTCCCTCATCGTGTGAGTCATTATCTGTATGGTCAGCGGGTTCTCCAGGGGAGCCTTCGATCACCAAAACAGCGTGCACTGGGGCACGTTTGATTGTCTCAACAGCCTAGAGAAAAGACGAAGATAACGCTGAACATTGCTGGGTGTGATGGTCCAGTGGATGGACTTCTGTGACATCATATGCAGTTGTCTGCTCATAATTTCACGGAAGAGGTTATTTCGCTGGCCTCAGAGTGACAAAACGTAACAAAGCAACGATTTTACTAACACTAACGCTATTCCAAACACCAACTCTAATCCTAACTTAACCCTACTCCAAACACCAACTCTAACCCTAAGCTAACTCTAACCCTAAGCTAACCCTACTCCAAGTTTGTTTCTAAACCAATCTTGAAGAAAAACGTTTTGACGAAATGTCATTCTGTGGTCAGCGAAATAACTTTTTCCTTTAATATCACCTCAATCTCTTGTGAAAATAGTGTATCTCAAATCATTAATAATTCATGAGTAAATTAGTCAACCATATTGCTTTATTTTGCTCACATGATAAAACTGGATACCTGATGAAGAAAATTATTCAGTCCTAGGACTGGATCAAAATTAATTCATCTCCGTTTAAGCAGTGATTTATTTATTCGTATGAGATGTACTATTTCAAATCCGACTATGAGGACTGGACTAGATTTCAAGTCCTCGCATTTTGATCCAGTCCTCAGCTTTGCCCCAGATTTGATCAAATTGCGCGGACTTGAAATCTAGTCCAGTCCTCATAGTCGGATTTGAAATATTACTTCCTGTTTGACTCTACCAAACACTGCAGGTTTTCCGTATAGGTACTCTGGTTTCCTCTTTACTGGATTTCTATGAAGAACTGTTCATAACTAATAAAGCAATCTAGTAGTATACTAAAAGTTGGTTTAGTATGAGATGGGTCTTATTCTTTCACCTCTTTGACCGAGGTTCAATGTCTGCAAGATTTGGCTGTCTGGTTATACTTTACAAGTCGCATGTAAAAAAAACTCCCAACTCTATCAAACATCGCAGTGTGTTGCGGATCCTACCTGTTTATGTGTGACACCTTGCAAACTGATGCCATTTACTGAAAGAATTTTATGTCCAACTTGAATGCATCCATCCAGATCAGCTGGTCCATTGGGGTACAGTGACTTGACAAATATTCCTCCATCTGTGGTGCTTGTGTTTACGCCTCCCTAAAAAATACGAAACGTTCAGACTTTGTCTACACTGTATTGAATAGTTTACATTATGCTCGGATTAGTCTTTGTAAAGGGAAGAAACACTGCTTTGCTTCTCAAAGTGGTAGGGTTCCATATCGGCCAGGTTATATATCGGACCTATTTTCAACATGGAATTAAGGTATCTTTTATGTGCAGTTTAAGTTGATACAAACAGCTTTTAATTTTTGTTAGTATAATTACATAGGTGATTATTGAAAATTCTCCACGCTGATTGGTTGCCGTTGAGGTGATTATTACGCGATAATCACCTAAGCGATTTTCAAAATGGCGGCCGAAGCCGTTTTGTCAATTAAATGACAAAGAAATGTGTATTTTTTATTTTTTTCCAAATAATCACCTATGAAATTATACTAAAACAATTATTCACCTCAGGCTCGGTGATTATCGTGAATAAAAACCTCGACTTCGTCTCGGTTTTTATTCACCGATAATCACCTCGCCTTCGGCGAATAATTGTTAATTAGTATACTATAGTATCATTTAACTTCGTCGCTGTCGCACCATGGAAACTTAATATTTTACTTGGATGTGCGTTTTGTAGCACAAAATTAACAGGTGTTTATACACTACACAGGATAGCTTTTTTTCAAACGACCCAGAAATATATCCAATATAATGAAGGATAAAAATGAAGAATATTATATGCAGCAACTGGATTCCCTTTTGTTATGAATGCAACGTAATCATGCTGTTCAGGTACTAATGGCCTCAACAGGAGATTTAGAATGTGATTTGTCAGCACGAATTCAAGTCAGTTCTAAGCTGTTCGTAAGAGTTTTATAAAATGATAGTTATAACTAACAGTAATCATTTATATCCATTTAAAGCTTCTTATAAGCTATCCTTTTTAAAGGAAATGGCTTTGAAGTTTAAGAAACAGCCATGCATGAAATCGCTTGGAAGTAGTTCAGTCCTGGGAAAATACGAGTGAGATTTTAATAAACCATTATGTCATGAACAATTACCTAGCTAGATCCAGGAGCTCATCATCAGTTCACTTTTCGCAATCGACCGAGTGATACTATATGGCTCTAAGTATGAGGTTGTTTTTTGGGGGACTGTTGTAATTCAGCAATAATATGTTTTAAAAGCATTACATGGTAGTTATTTCAAGCAAACACAATCCAGCTATTATCTATTATAATACATGCTTAACTCAGCGTTTAGTTCGCAGTGGGGTGTACGGTCATGCAGAGTGTTCGCTAGCTTGCCGAGTTACGCAGCTGGGTTAGCGCTAACCCTTCGTTAAAATTTAACCCGCTGTTTTTTTTGGTGCATTTGCACTTTTGTTTATTTCAAAACTTCTAAAATAAAAATTCTATTGATCCAGACATGAATTGTGGAAAACTACCTTAATTATGTTTCTAAACAGACTGTTGGGAAGATTGCTATGAAATTTGTGTTAACCTAGGATTAAGCTAACCAGCTTTTAAACAACCGACCCCAGGGTTCTAGGCCCTTTGCTCACCATCAAATATTTCGCTATCGACCGAGTAAAATACGTCTTAAGTATGAGGTTGTTTTCGGGGCCATTTTTAAGATTCAGTAATAACATGTGTTTTAAAAGCATTATTGTTTCAAGCAAAAACAATGAAGTAATCCAGCTATTATCGATATACATGCACTTAACTCAGCATTTAGCTCAGGATCATGCAGAGTGTTTACTAGCTTGCTCAGCTATTTATAGGCCTGATCGCAGGTTAGCTCAGCTACAGAAATGCAGTCAACGTTTCGAAAACAAGCTTAATTTTCCATGGAAAAAACTCAGTAGGGGAAAACCCAGTAAGATTACCATTATACCTATAATTGTACAAACGTTTGGCTATATAATCTAAACTTCAGTGGCATAAATACTCAGTTTCTACAGTTCTACAAGCATTATACTTTCAAGTATGTTATCTGTGATTGCGAGTATTATAAGCTCTGTTTTGGGTTTAGTGTTGAATAAAGCTCGTTCAACAGCAGCTAATAAGCTCGAGGACGGCGATATCACGGATGAGAAATTGCGAGATTTCATCAACGAAGACCTGAACGATATCAAGACAAAACTCACTGGACTCTCGCGAAAAGATTCACTCGCAAGTTATTGCTTTCTAAAAGAGGGTGTAGTTTCACTCAATGAAGCACTCGGTGAAGTAAAAGACGAACAGACAAGTAAAGACGACACAAACGGTGACCAAAATGACGGAAGTCAAACAACAGCAGCAACCATAAGAAACGGAAGCGAGTCTGGAGTTCTGAACGAAGTCATCGCACTTTTACACGCCATTCAAAAGCTAAACAACACATCAAGTGCTCGACTTGATTCTGCAAAAGAACGTTTCAAAACTGCACTCGACAAAGCAACAGAAGCATTCTGTAACAAAGCCTTGAGTTTGCCGGATAGAATCATGGCGACAAAACTACGTGTCGCCTCGAAGATTTTGGAATGTCTTCAAGATACAAAAGCAGCGGCCGCTTGTTGCATGTTGTTCTTGGAAGAGCTTCATAATCTGCCAGCAATCGGGGAAACATTTTCCACATATTTCAAAGGAGGGATAAAGTCAAGATTCCACAAAGATTCACGATTAGAAAACGTGAAATCTGTAATCTCTTTGAACTTTGCTATATCAGAATTTGTTGCGAAGTTTTCTGGTGAGTTACCTAACGTCAGAAACTGGCCCAGAATACACCTGTCTACCGGAGAAACTATCAACCCGCTATGTCTCGACATTGAGATTGTGAAGGAAATTTTTGGCAACGAAAAATTTACACCGCCAGAAAATCAAGTCAATGCACACGAAATATATTGCGGCAAACACTGTATAAATAGTAAAGGGCAGTTTCTAAATTCATGCCTGTCTGACAAGCGTATACGTATACATATTTTCAATAGATCAGGCGACATGAAAACGTTTTGTCATATTCGACAAGCGACAGAAAACGTTGAAGGTAACAAGCAAAAAGTAAAAGCGTTGGCCATTGATCGTCACGATAATGTTTTCGTTATTATACTCTTTGAATATGGCGGCACTGGTTCTGAAGGCAAGTATGTTCTCTTCGTTTTCGACTCCAGTGGAAATAAGCAATACGAACGTGTGTTAGTCTTCCTTAAAGCTGCTGACACAGAGGGACACATTGATTGTGTGGTAAACAACGATGGCGATATTATGATCTGTGAGGATCATATTTATGTCTGCGACAGCAACGGTATTTTAAAATCTCACTTGCCACTTGAGGAAAATTCAAATTATCGTTCAGGAAACTACATTTCCTTGCAATGTGTCACTGATCAGAATGAAATAATCATGAAAACACAAAGCCATGTGCTCGTTTACACGAAAGAGGGGAAGTTAAAACGAGCGATAAAGGTCGAGGACAAAGTGCGAGCAGTGGCGTATAACAATGCCACATCAAATATAGAAATTCTGGTACGCAAGGTACCAATTTCTGGAACAGAGCCATATCACATTCTTAGTTACTCAGAGAATGATGAAGTTGAACGTTTGTATTTACCAGTAACTAAACAGATATACATGTATGCAGGGTTTTGCTCACATCCTGCAGGGCCTGCAACGTTACTGTACTGCCACGAAATTTCAGGCAACATTATATTTATGTAAAAAACAGTAGCTTATTATACCGCAAGCGTTGTTTAGCTGCGACACCAGAAGCCAAAATTGAAATAGTACATTGGCTACATGGACAAAAAAGTAATTTTACAGTAAGGAAATTAAGATTTATTATGTAATGTAATATTGGGTATTTTTAGTAATGTTTCGTACCCAGATTGTTAATAAAATTTGATGAATGAAACTGGCCTTATAATCATGCCATGCACCCACTTATCCCCCAGGAGACACACCCCGTTGCAGAACAAAAAAAAAATTACGACTTAAATAAAAAAAGTGAAATAAAAAGACAATCTTACCGTGACGTTCAATCCCAGACTGCCAGACACTTTATCCAGCTCCACTGTAAAATTACTCTTGAAGAAATACAAAAGAAATACAATTAATTTGTATCGAAAATCCTGTTAACAGACCTCCTTGGCTTGTGCCATTTCAATTTTTGTTTATACTCTTGAGAGATTTCAGTTTGTTGATATTCGAGCATGAAATGATTAAAATGACAATGAAACCAAAATAGCACATTACTCGACAGTAAATAAACATTGAAATGGGCAATTTGTATACGAAGCGGGGAAGGCTTTATGTCTTCCTTATTTGCCGCGTTTCAGGTCAAATGGCTCAATCTAATAATCACCCCTCTATTATGCACCTTTCTCCAATCCTACCCCCCCCCCCCAACCCACAAACGAGCTTGAAATGAATGAACCCCCGTTTTGATAGAGGCTGAATCATAACAGTACTTCGATTTAAGTTGGAGCAAACATTGCAATAATACAATTTTCAGCCAATTTCCATAGATTTGACAACTCAACAGCAGTTCAGGCATTAACCACGGACACCGGACGATTTCAAAAGAACCCAACTTACCGGTACTCTTTCCTCTCCAGACACTCGCCGTTCTTCTCTATCCATAACTACCCCAACCGGAAGTTGTTCGAGACCGTCCTCGCTACTCCACTTTTCTACTTCCGGTTCAGAAATACCCACGGATACATTATTCTCTGAATCTGAACGACTCTGAACCAATCTCTCTTCATTAAGCGCGCTTCCGGCAGGTGACTTCCGGTCGTGGAATTGTACCTCGGAGTCTGGTAACGAATTCTGACGATTCACTTTTTCACCGAATGACGCAATTGATCCGGGACTTTCCTGGCTGACTTGAGATGTTACCGATGTTCTGAGAAGTAAGACATTTATAGTAAAATTAAATTATAAAATTTATTTAATGTCATTCACACAGCGTGTGGTTGCCCAATACGCCCATTCAGAAAGTACTTTGGTTATAGAGTTTCGTTTTTGACTTACTTGAGCTGGAGTTACACCTACGAGTTACACAAGCAACAAAATTGCTGCAACTTGCAACAAAATCTGATTTCAACGCATGTTAATTGAAAATGTTTACACATAAATTACAAATCACAAGGCAAACGTGTCGACATTTCTACTTAACATGCGTTGAAATCAGATTTTGTTGCAAGTTGCAGCAATTTTGTTGCTCGTGTAACTCCAGCTTTAAGTGTGAGGTGAGTGTGGAGCAATTAAACAATGGCAAATGACCAGCCTGCTTTGCGCGCACTGTTTGCCTGCGAATTGGGCCTTTCAGAACCGGAAATCGGGCTGGAGCACGCGTTCGTTCTTTTGATTTGGCAAAAGAAGCACGACAAATGGGTGAAATGGCAAAATTCGCACGGTGCCCGGTTTACAAAAACAACTGCAAACTGCTCTAATTCTTTCTGTCACTTTCATTTGATCTTATCCGTGAGTCGGTCCCAGCGGCCTTTGATCGTGTATGTGACGTAATTAAACCCAAACGTCTGAATCATTAAAACGAGGTTCTATAGCCAAGGTAACTTACTCTCTGGAAGAGTATATTCAGCCGAGACTCATCAAACATATGCTCGACAACTAAGACCTGGATTCTATGGTCGTAATGCTCGTAAAACTAGAGTCACGATCTTTCTCAACGGTCAGTTTATAATAGTTTATACCTGTGAACCACATTTAAATCATAAGTATTCTCTAGTTATAATCACTCCGCGTATTTTCAGTTCTAAAATGTTGTATTTCGGCTGATGAGAAAGATCGTTACTCAATCTTTACGACCGTTACGACCATATGGAAACCAGGCTTAAAACCGGAACACCCTCAAAGCACAGAGCTAACCACAACTGTATTTATATATGTGTGTGTTGGGGAGGGGGTAAGTAAGGCAAGGCCTCAGGGCTGGGGGTACTCGGCGTGTACATTGCCTTGGCAGAACTGTGTCTTTACCTTGTGAGTTTAACATTCTCAACTCGACCGTCGGTCATCCCGGGCAATTTGACGCCACCATGATGACTTCTACGGGTGCCCTGTTCCGGAGAACTTGGATAAGACAAGGGCGAGCTACTCCCTGAAATCGGGCGCGAGATTTGAGGGCTGTTCTTTCCTTGCGGGTTGACCATGTCTTTGGTGTAAGCCGATTCGAGGTCCCTGCTGACGTTTGTAATACTGATGTCATCGTCGCCATGGTTACTGTTCATATTTCCAGGTAGTGTCTGACCCTCGAGGAGATATGGAGACATTCGATGACCGCGCTCGGAAGACGGGCGTTGCGTTTTGTCAGCGGCAGGACTGTACAAAACTGACATGTCTGCAAAGCAAGAAGTCCAATTTAAAATCTTGGTTACCTTGGTAACAAATGGGAGAGAGGTGGACCCCCATTCATCCAGTGGCCTCCTTACCTATGTCGCTATCAGTTCGTGTACTCTGTGAAACCAAGAGCTCGACATTAACTGGAGTGTTCTTCAACGCCTGCACTGCCTCATCATGACTGACATACTCCAAGCTTTTGCCATTCACAGCCAGAATACGGTCGCCTGAATGAAAAATTGAAAATTCAAACAGTTAGGGATGAGGGAGGGAGGGAGGGAGAAAGAAACAAAATGGAAATGTATCATATTTAAATCCCGCTCGAGCCAACGAATTCTTCGTTGGTCGATTGCAGTGTCAGAATAATATGAAACTGGTTTTTCGTATCGCTGAGGATGGTTCTAAAAATAGAATTGAAACACTGCGCGTCCTCTAAGACAAGCGTTAAGTCGTCACGAAAATATTTCGTGCACTTAAATTGGATAAGACTCGCTACCAATCCCCGTTGACTTGATAGCTTAATGGGCAGAGCGGCGGTCTGGATACCCGAAGATGCGAGTTCAAATCCCGCTCGAGCCAACGAATTTTTCGTTGGTCGATTGCAGTGTCAGAATAATATGAAACTGGTTTTTCGTATCTCTGAGAATGGTTCTGAAATGTATACATATGTTTCACGAAGGTCTAATCTTGAACTGTCTGTGTCAGTGTAGGTAGTGGCAATATCATGAACAAGCTTTCGTTGGTAGGGATAAACTACCTGAAAAATATAAGGAGAATTTCTAAATTCTTCTCACATTTTTGCAGGTAGTTGCATCTCTACCAACGAAAGCTTAAGCTTGTTAATGTTTCACAAAGCACTATCGTGCCGTAGATGAACGTCAACTTGCAGACCTCAGAGTGAACTTGCAGACCTGACTGTTATTTCTTTACATTATATGTAGTAGTCAAATGATACAATTAAGAGATGTAGTTTTATTTCCACGCTCCTGCGGCTACCAACAACACTTCCAAACGTTGACCACCAACTGCTAGCCTGTAAAGGCAGATCTACACTACAAAACTTTTGCCTCAAACTGTCGCATGCAACCTGCTTACAACTTGAGTTGTACTGTCTATATCAAACACACAACTCATCTACGTCACAGAATAAAGACACAAAGAAGGTCGACTCAGCCAAAAAAGTGTAACCGGGAGAAACCAAGAAGTCCATCTTCTGTATGTCTCTATTCTGTGCCTACGTTGTCTACGCCTTAACGTTTGCTGAAAGCCATCAATAACAACACGTATAGAGAACTCACCAAGTTGCAATCTTCCGTCTTCGTGCGCAACGCTGCCAGGGGAAATTTTCTTGATAAAAATACCAAAATGAAGTCTTGCAGTATCTTCACCACCCACCACAGTAAGACCTGGAGTATAAACAGTTTAAGATACGTTACCTAGGGCTGGAAAACATTATTGGACCGCGGTGTGCCAGAATTTTTAAAGTTCCCAGGATTTGTTTTTGATATTGTGAGAAAAAAACGAATAAACAAACAAAAAAAGTCTTCGGAAGGAGAAACGAATAAACTAAACTGCATGGCATATATCAAGTGAACCATACATTATATAGGAGGATTTGAACAGTATATATGGGGAAAACGAATTGCCCATTTTCACCGACTCGATAGCCTATTTGCTTTACCATTCCTTGCCAAGTCAACCACATGCTCTGTCATTATAATGATTATTATACCTAATGCTCCTCTTGCATCTTTCTTTAATTTAATTGCCTTGACTTTTCGATCAGGAGACATAATGATCTCAGCTGTCTTTTTCTGATTGGCTAAAATTGAAAAAAAAACCCAATAATTCGCAAGTAGATGATAGAAGTATCCAGTTTAGTGCAAGTTTCCTCCTGTAGTAACATTGGATCAATAAGAGTTGATCCTTACTGGACCTCAAGGAAGATATCGATAGAGCTATCCAGTTCAAAAATCCAAAACATATTACCTCTGGGAGATGGAGTTTTGTCTGAATTTCCCGAGGGTGAAGGAGGCGTTGAATCTACGAGAGAAAAATGAAAGTCTGTATTAGAAAAATGTATGCACTAGAGACAAAAAGCATCGTACTGAAGACATTCGAGTATAGTCTAGCCTGTGTTCCAGTCCACTACAACAATACCGAAATAAATATGCACAAAAGAAGCAAAATCTTACTCAATACATAAGGAAGTGCCTCCCTTCCGTCCGGAGTGCTGGCAGTCATATTCTGACCAATCATATTATCTCCGTTAGCTGACGAAGCTCTGCTGGGCTCACGTGACTCGAAGCTGCTATCTACGTCATCTTCATTACCATTCAGAAATTTCCCGCCATCGCCATTCAGATGAGGTCTTGAGTTACCTGACTCGTAACCAGGCCCTAAGGATCTTCGCTCTTTCTCTTCTGCAACTGTTGAAGATATGGATTTTTTTTAAAAGAACGCATAACGGTCATTGATCCACTAAACTTACGTACCGGAAGTACGCCAATATTACTGTCTGGTACTTCTTTGTTTTCAGCCACGTACCACGTAGGTACGTGGAACTCTTGCTATCTGCGTATTTATTTTTTGATGATACCACATGACCTTTCCAAGTCCAAGGTATTCAATAGCGTAATTTAGTTGCTATATCATGAGTCTGAGATGTCTTGGCATGAAACATGATTGCACTGATGGCGCTAAGAAACGTTGGAGTCGGTTGTTTGAAATAGCAAAACACCCTTTTCAAATAGCAAAACTCCCTTTCCAAATAGTAAAACTCCCTTTTCAAATAGCAAAACTCCCGTTTCAAAGAGCAAAACTCCGTTTTCAAATAGCAAAACTCCATTTTCAAATAGCAAAACTCCGTTTTCAAATAGCAAAACACCCTTTTTAAATAGCAAAACACCCTTTTCAAGTAGCCAAACTCCCTTTTCAGTAGCAAAAGTTCCTTTTCAAATAGCAAAAGTCCCTTTTCAAATAGCAAAACTCCCTTTTCAAATAGCAAAACCCCTTTTCAAGTAGCAACACTCCTTTTTCAAATAGCAAAACTCCCTTTTCAAATAGCAAAAGTCCCTTTTCAAATAGCAAAAGTCCCTTTTCAAATAGCAAAACCCCTTTTCAAGTAGCAACACTCCTTTTTCAAATAGCAAAACTCCCTTTTCAAATAACAAAACTCCCTTTTCAAATAGCAAAACTCCCTTTTCAAATAGCAAAACTCCGTTTGCTATCTCGTTGACTAAGTACACATTCAGCATTGAGTTTGTTCTAGCGCAAGTACGCGGCAACAACCATTGGCGTACCAGTCAGGTACGACTAGAAATCTTGAATGATCGTACCCTGCCATCCCCCCGACAGGAAAGGCTACAACTCTGAATATACGGAGGCTTTTTAATCTAACCTGTAGATGACTCCTCCATGGCCAACAGACGAACTTTCATTCTCATTTGAAAACGATGAAATGACGTACACAAATACAGCAAATACTTTGACCTTCAAAAGAAGATAAAACAAATAAAATAAATTAAATTCATTTTTTATACTGGATGGCTCTACACTGGTTCCTCCTGTAGTAACACTGGATCAATAAGAGATGATCCTTACGGGACCTCTAGGAAGAACAGTTTAGAACTGATAGAGCTATCCAGATAAATAAGGTTAGTTTAGTTTAGGTTTCCTCCTGTAGTAACACTGGATCAATAACAGATGATCCTTACGAGACCTCTAGGGAGAACAGTTTAGAACTGATAGAGCTACCCAGTACGAATAAAGTTAGTTTAGTTTACCTTTTATAAGATGAGCTAAGAAACGTGAGTCTATTCTGTTTGCTTCCACTTTCTTTGCGAGGCTCAATATAAAATTTCTTTTTCTAAAAGAAGAAAAACAGAAATGAAGATTCTTTCACAAGACATATTGGCAGGATGGGTTACACAGAAGTAAATTCACAGCCCCTTCAACTTTAGCTGTATTTAAGTACATATAATGTTTACTATAAGGAGGGACAGTTCACGGTCTAATGTTTACAAAAATACTTTTGCTATACTATTACCTTAAATGCTAGCTTTTTTATTGCCGACCATGAGTGTCTCTCCAGCGGTTTCCTCTTGTTTTGTTTAAGCTAATAAAAAATTAAACTTTATTGTTAAGAGGCAATTTTTTTCAATGTCACGTATTCGCAATGAAAAGTGTTCAAAACCTAAAATCGTTTTGGCGTTCCTCTCAAAATTACTTTGTTTTAGCTTTCTTCTCTAGTTTATAGAGTTAGCTACCTTTTTAAATGCATCTGCCGGTTTAGAAACATAAAATATAGTTAAAAATTGTCAACGATGCTTTAAAATTGACGCCATATCTACGGCCATATAAGCAAAACTTACTGAACTTCAGACATCATTTTCTCTTTGGCGTATCATCTAAAATCTCTTCATTTTAGCATTATTTTACAGATAAAGCACTAAACATACTTTTTAAGTTTGTTTGCCAATTGAGAAACGTATCGAAAAATAAAAATTTTGAATTTAGTCATAACCTCAAGTGATATATTATACGCATTAGTTTTGAGCGCGTGTTACGTAACATACAAAAATATCTCCTCTTAATCAATTATTTTAATTTCAAAATATCTAAGAACATATTTGTCTGTATGGTGTTTGTTGCAAAGCGGTTAGTGCATGCGTCTTTCATCTTTGTGACCACGGTTCAATGGACCTTTCCCCTTATGAGTGAAATTTTGATCTAAACAAGTCTGGAAAAAAATTTCATCACAGCTTGAAAGAGCATCACAAAATTAGTAATATTCCCAAGTTTCGTTGCGAAATATTGTAAAATGCGGATAATATATAGCCTTGCGAAGTTTGCCGTTTTTCAGTCATTTTGCATTACAAACGGGAAATTGATTGATCAGATGATCAAACTGATTATCAATTTCCCATTTGTAATACAAAATGACTGAAAAACGGCAAACTTCGCAAGTATTATCCGCATTCTACAACATTTCGCAACGAAACTTCGGAATATTACTAATTTTGTGATGCTCTTTCAAGCTGTGATGAAATTTTTGTCCAGGCTTGTCTAGATCAAAATTTCACTCATAAGGGGAAAGGTCTATTCCTGCAATATGCTGTTGTCTGATTATAATTTCACCTCAGTCACAGGTGAAAAGAATGCTTTCAGTTTGACTCTGCAAAACTCGACACGTTTCCAGTACTACTGGACCAACATACGATGACTGTTATTGAAGGAAGAACAACTTAGAATTGCTAAAGTGAAGCCACAGAATAAAGACACACAGATGAACGACTAAGCCAAAAAAGCGTAACCTCTGCCACGCCATGATTTGCAATGATTCGTCATCAAAATGCTGACGCCATGGTCCTAGTCAGTGCGCTTATGAGAGGCATTCACGCCCTGGACGTCCGCCATTTTGAATATTATCAGGGGGGTGAATGCATAGAGATTATAAATAACACGAGAGGAGGCATCGAGTTTAAAAATTGGGAACGCAGCTAATGGGGGGCAAATTCAAGTCCCGGATATAAAATCGTACTCTCATTGGCTGATTTGAAACTCGTCACCAATGGGAACACGAATACACATCCCGGACTTGAATTCCCAATAGTCGCGTTCCCTTTTTTTTACTGAATTAAGATTACAATGCCTCCTCTAGTGTTATTTATAATCTCTAGGGGTGAATGCCTCTCATAAGCACACTGGCTAGGACCATGGCGTCAGCATTTTGATGACGAATTACGGTCAACGCCAAAATCATAGGAAAAACCAAGAAGTCGATCTTCTGTTTGTTTCTATTCTGTGGTGCAGCTTCGTTTACCTAGAACAGTCTTATCTAAATGCATTCAGTAGAAAGTTGGTTTAGTTTCGACTTACTTCAAATATTGTAACACCACGTACACAAACACCAATATAGATTAATTGATTTTCTTTTTTACTCTATAATAAAACAATCAGAATATTTTATACATGAATCATATGTCCGTATCGTTCAACAAGAGTGTCACGAAGTACTATCGTGCAGAAAATTATATTAAATTCTTCTCATTTTATAGAATAGCCTTGCATATGTAGTGATATAATCTTAAACTGGCTGTGTCAGTGTCGGTAGTGTGCCAATCAAATGAACAAGCTTTCGTTGGTAGGGAGAACTTTATTTAATAATGTTGTTGTATACTACATTAAAAAGGATAAAAAATTCTTTAAGAGTTAGTATTTGTCCACGACATAAATTGTTTTTGTTTATCTGTTCATAAAAACACGACCTGAACTACTGGTTAAACTACATTGTTATCACTAAAAGTCTAAACAATACTTCCGATTTCGTTAAGTATTTCAATGTTGTCGATGTCATAGTTCACTTCTTGCTTAATTGTTCTAGATCCTCTTAAGCACAATACTGCAGATCTTATAATGCACTACCTGAAACATATAAGGAGAATTTCGACGTTTCGTGCGAAGGCCCTTCGTCTGGAGTACAAGTGGCCAAGTAAATGAAATTGAGAGTTGTAGTTTAATTTTCTGTCTCCCGTAAGTCTCAACATCTCTAAAATTGACCAGCATCTGCTGTCCTGGAACCCACCAATAACCATATGGAAATATTTAATAAAAACATGCTATTTTATAAAATCCTTACCCATTGCGCTTTGTGCAAATGCATGCCATATTCCGCTAACTTTTGTGATTCTTTGATAAATTTCACTTCAGCTTCCTCTTGACTCAAGCCACATTGAACTTTGTGCAGAGCTCGGAGTTTTTGGGAAACGTGGTCTTCGCTCAATTTCACCAAAATCTGAGAATTAGAAAACTTTTTTTAGATACGTAAATAGATCTTGAACTTTAAACTAAACAACCTTTTTTTAGCGATGAGCAGGTGTTACTACTGCAATTGATAGAGACAAATCTATCCAGCATGAATAAAGTTAGTTTAGTTTAGGTTTCCTCCTGTAGTAACACTGGATCAACAAGAGAAGATCCTTACTGGACCTCTAGGAGGAACAGTTTAGAACTGATAGAGTCATCCAGTATAAATAAAGTTAGTTTAGTTTAAGTTTCCTCCTGTAGTAACACTGAATCAATAAGAGATGATCCTTACTGGACCTCTAGGAAGAACAGTTTAGAACTGATAGAGCTATCCAGTATAAATAAAGTTAGTTTAGTTTAGGTTTCCTCCGGTAGTAACACTGGATCAATAAGAGATGATCCTCACTGGACCTCTAGAAAGAACAGTTTAGAACTGATAGAGTCATCTAGTATAAATAAAGTTAGTTTAGTTTAGGTTTCCTCCTGTAGTAACACTGGAACAATAACGGATGACTCTTACTGGACCTCTAGGAAGAACAGTTTAGAACTGATAGAGCTACCCAGTATAAATAAATTTAGTTTAGTTTATGTATCCTTACTGGAACTCTGGGGAGAACAGTTTAGAACTGATAGATTTATCCACGTGTACATAAAACTAACTACTTACACGGTGTGGTAAATAATGTTTTGGTTTAAAATAATTTTCACCAAACCGCTTCTTGTTGTAATCTCCGTACTCGGCCTGCAGGGCGAGTGAAGCCAGATTTAGGACTGGGTCGACATCACTGTACACGTGATCATTGATGACGTCACTACGTAACTGCAGGTACAGTTGATGGCTGGTCTCGTGATGTCTAAATAAGAAAAACGTGAACGTCACATTTCGGAAACATGCCCGACAGCGCAACTTGTAGCAACTTGATAAAACAACAGCATTGTTACAACTTGTTCACAAGCTTGCTGCAAGTCTGTTGCGCTTCAACACTCTTAATTGTTGACAAGTTGTGAGATTTTTACGTGTCTACAGATACAAACAAATACAGAAGCAGTGAAAAACATGCCCGTTTTAATGTATCTAGTTTTATATCCGCGACTTACCTAAACAAAGCCAAATTTTCCACATAAAATTTCACTCTGAAATACAGCACATATTTTCCCGTGAACTTTTTCGACTGAAAAAAAATTTAAAAAGAAAATTAAAAGTGCAGATAATATGTGGTTTCATTAAGAACTATATCGTGCAGCAGATGGTGTCAACCTGCAGTTATCAGAGTGAGAAAAAAACTCTTTTCATTATATGTAGTATACTCTTGTCTCTGGTGGGAAATGAACAGAACTAGGAGATAAACGCCTGTATTCTAAAAGCTCACTCACACTCACTGAGTGGAGGTTCAATCTGAGCTTCTCTTGAGTGTCAATGCTGTTTTTGAATAGCTGGAGGGTGAGTAGTCGCATAGTAAGGTATGACACCAGCCCTCCAGCTATTCAAAAACAGCAATGGCACTCGGGGGAAGCTCACATTGAACTTCCACTCATTGAGTGTGAGTGCGAGTGAGCTTTTAGAATACGGGCGATAGTTTAATATTCTTGCTTCCATAGCCATATGTGTGTTCACACCTCAGTTTTGAAGAGTAGCACCTGTTGAGCGGCCAATAAGTTTAAAAATATTGAAAAAATTTAAAATTCATGGTTAGAAATGACAGTTCTCATATAACAAGCTCAACAAACATACTTGTTCTTTCCAGCCTGCTGGCGCATACTTGGAAAGTTTCGTGTCGAAATCCAAAAACAAATGCTCCTCATCTAAAATAAGAAAATCAACTGTCAGCGTTAACTTGCCCCTGCAGTTAGCATTGTGCAAGAAATCACAGGAATAGTTTATCATTCATAACTTCCCATCGAAGGGCGGTACCTTCAATTCTGGTGAGGCCAAAATAGATCTTTTCTGTGATGCCAATATATTTTGTGATTTGAGTGAAAAGCTCTTGCACTTTTGTTGAGCTCTATGAAAAGAAAATGCCTGTGTTCATAGCATTGCAATTGGTGAATATAAATAAAAAGTAATGAACACAAAAATGGCGGAATAAATGTCATAAATATGCCACATATTAAATAAGCCTCATATACATGAAGCAATAACTTGTTTCCAAACCTCAACAGCCACTTCCAGTCTTTGTTCATTTAGCATGACCACAGTCACCATTCGACGTCCTGAAACTTGTTTCTCTGCTTTCTTTTTCTGCGTGTGAACAAAACAACAAATGCTTAAAAGTTAAAATGATAGCTCTATCAGTTCTAAATAGTTCTTCCTAGCGGTCTAGTATTGTAAGGATCATCTCTAATTGATCCAGTGCTACCACAGGAGGACACCTAAACTAAACTAATTTTATTTATACTAAGTAGCTCTATCAGTTCTAAACTGTTCTTCCTAGAGGTCCAGTAAGAATCATCTCTTATTGATCCAGTGTTACTATAAGAGGAAACCTAAACTAAACTAACTTTATTCATACTGGATAGCTCTATCAGTTATGAACTGTTCTTCCTAGAGGTCCAGTAAGGGCCATCTCTTATTGATCCAGTGTTACTACAGGAGGAAACCTGAACTAAACTAATTTTATTTATACTAAATAGCTCTATCAGTTCTAAACTGTTCTTCCTAGAGGTCCAGTAAGAATCATCTCTTCTTAATCCAGTGTTACTACAGGAGGAAACCTAAACTAAACTAATTTTATTTATACTAAATAGCTCTATCAGTTCTAAACTGTTCTTCCTAGAGGTCCAGTAAGGATCATATCTTACTGACCAAGTGTTACAACAGGAGGAAACTGTTGGATAAGTCTAACAGTTATATTCTGCCCTTTACTGGTCCACTGTCCCTACTTAGAAAGCAGGAGTACTGAGAGAAAACCTGTGGTGTTTGGTGGAGTCAAACTTGGAGAACTCTTCCTATATGCGACTGAGTTGAAATTATAATCCGACAACAGCACAATCCGCCAAGAATGGAACTGTGCTCTACGGGACTATTGTGTGAAATTATGGCGTCACTCACCGGTGTTATATTGACCAATGATTGATTAGGATCTTGTAACACTTGCACAAATTCAGGACCGAAGAATTTCTAAATCAAGGTTAATAATAATAAGACAAACTAGTGGACACTCAGAGCACGGGTGGAAAAAACAGGCGAATGCAGGAAATGTTAAACAGCTGCAGGAAATTCGTTTGAATGAAGATTTGCTATTGATAATTTGAAGGAATCCTTAACAGCCATGTCCCACTATGGACGCAACAACATATGGTTGACAGACATTATTCCTTGAATTTAAAACCTGGTCAGCTAGAACACTATATTTTTATGCCCATGCAATTTTTGTCTCCAGGTTGTGCTCCTAGGAAGAAAATGATTTTTTCCTGCCCTGACTCACAGACTGCATAGCTCAAAGTTTGACATAGAAAATTTCAACTTAGAAAATTTCAAACGGACAAAAATTTTTTCCGCTGACATACTGAATTAAAAAGGTTCAAAAGAAATCCTGCGACCAGCTAACATCATGTATTACCCTCAATTTCGCTTTAGGAATCTTTTTCGCATTTTTCCCGCCGTCTGTCGAATCAGGTGATACCAGGTTCTGCTCTGAACGGTATTTCCGCTGACCTCCATTGCTTGGCCATTGCGGTTTCGTATCTGCGAACCCGTTTCTCACGCCTCCTCGATCGTGATTGGTCAATTGTGACATTGATCTCAAGTCGCCAATGGATGAATGGTGCCATTCTCTACACAAAGTAGTTTTGTTCAATTTAGTCCAACTCAATACGTCATTCCGAAAATTGCTCATTCTTGGCTATATAGTCTCGTTTTCGCGATTGACATATTAGAGACCTTACGATGTGGGACAGTAACGCGACGACAACGGCTATTCATACAATGAGATTGATAATATTTAAGAAAAAAATGAATAATTAATATCCCACGGGAGTTTAAGACGTCGTCCAAGGTCTGTTTACAACAAGAAACCACAGACTTTTACGTCTTGGATAAAACGTCCCCATTTCAAGACGCGAGAAGTGATACTCAGCAAATTAGCTCAGTACTACAGTAGAACTTTCTCGACAATAACGGCCACTATTTCAGGCTAACCAAACAGTATTAGATTGATATGATCAATAATAGTCTACAAACTTTCTTTACAATCGTTTATTTGAATGATTTTAATCTGGTCGTTGTCGTTGCGTTACTGTCCTACATCGTAAGGTCTCTATTGGTTTACAGCCCTTTATCTTGTTACAAGTGACATGTGATAAAGGGTTATATGCCAATGTCTCGTACACGAAAACAAGTGTCCATACTCTGTACGTTCAGTGGCCACAGCTAACAGTACTTTCAATGAGCACTCTATATATATCTGGAGCATGAACTTCAGTCATTCGGCCTATGAGAAAAGTGAAGCCAAAATGGCGGCCATTGACGTCCAATAGCTCTGAAGGTCGTGAACAGTTTTAATAGGACCGTGTCGCTAAACAAGTTATTAGTTCATAGTGTTATTCTTTAAATCGATGTACGAAATACGAAATTTCAACACACCCCTTGCCAAGATGGCGGAAATTGAAGGAGTATTGGACGTCAGTTCCAGTCCCTTTCTATTAGCGAACTTAAGCAAAGCTTAAACTAGTGCGGGGACGTGTCAAGAAAGCGCCTTAAATTTTACAGTTTTTTATTATAACTAACTACCGTTATTAAGAACTTCAAAAAGCAGAACGAAAGTGCAACGAAAACAGCTAATAATAACATATTAATGCAAGAAAATGAGCAGAAATTGACAATTAAAATCCACAGACGTTTTAGACGTCGCCGTAGCTCTGTTTTACAACGGCGAAATGCAGATTATCACGTCTTGTATATACAACGCTTACATTTCAAGCTGGGACAACTGCTATTTTAAATCGGGTCCTAGAACTTTTCTCAGTCATAAACCCTGTGTTCATTTTGATCCTTAAACTGTATTATTTTCATACGCTGGATAATAGACGACAGGTTTTCTGCTGCAATCATTTGGTTCAACGAGTTTGTTTACCGTCGCCGTCGCGTTCCCATCCTACATGCTTAAGGTCGCTATTGTTTTTGTCTGTGCGGTTAACACTAAACTGGCTTCAGTTTTTGGACTCGAGTTCTCACTCCAGATATATATATATATATATATATATATATATGGAGCTCACTGAGTACTTTCCAGGGACCGGTTGTTCAAAGCTAGGTCATCTTAATCCTAGGTTAACCTAAAATTCAAAGCAAACTTCCCGACAGCTTGTCTGTAAATTTGAAAATATTTCTTCAGAGATCTTGTCTGGATCGATAGAAGTGTACATCTCTGAAGATTTGAAATAAACAGACGTGCAGAAATACATAAACTAAAACAGCAGGTTAAATTTTAACCCAGGGTTAGCGCTAACCCACCTTTGAACAACCAGCCCCTGAAGGGTGTATTTAGTTTGGTTCTGATCGCACGAAATTTTCATTAATAACAAAAAGCGTTCAACAATTAATAAATTCTGCCAAGCGCGATGCACAAAATAGACGAATCCCTACCCTGAGCGCTGAGATCCACCAGCATCCCTAAGTGATGCCATACTTCCCCAATGGTCACTACCAAGATCTGTAAATGACGAAGCTGGCACGTAACTTCCCTCCATCAGTGAGGCCAGAGAAGAAGACTGGACCGAGCTTAAGGTGGACCTGTGATGATCTGAGAGGGACGAGGTTTCACTTGATGCGTCACTACTCTGACCTGTGGGTAAGATACCTGATGTAAAGAAATAAGTAATAATTTAACGTCTTATCAAGTATTTACCAAAACTAACTCTAAATATACCTATACATACCAAGTGAACCCGAGCCAGTACCCCTCAACTTCTCACTTCTCGAGAAGCCATTATCCGTAGCAGTTCCCTCATATTCTTTATCGTTCCTGTCCAATGACTGTGTCCTCTCGTATCCCCTGCGTGACGAGAACTCCAAGGAATGACGGCCATTGATAGCTGGCATGCTCCCGTAACGATGACGTAATAGGTCGATGGATCGGTCTGCAATAACTGGTGATGTCATAGTTTTCTGATGGCGGGCTTTTTCCAAGTACTTGCGATATTTGTCTAAAATCAAATGTTTGTACGGACATTTGTTACAGAATTGGACAGCTTTATCAGTTTTAAACTGTTCTCCCTGGAGGTCCAGGAAGAGTCATCTCCTATTGATCCAGTGTTACTACAGGAGGAAACCTAAGCTAAACTAACTTTATTTATACTGGATAGTTCTCTCAGTTCTAAACTGTTCTTCCTAGAGGTTCAGTAAGGATGATCATCTCTTATTGATCCAGTGTTACTACAGGAGGGGACCTAAACTAAACTAACTTTATTTATACTGGATATCTCTATCAGTTCTTAACTCTTCTCCCCTTTACTTGCTCAATGGCTTCACTTCAGTGCTCAATTATTTATATTAGAGTTCAATATAAATAAATTTCTTTGTACAAGAAGTGTGCAGCGGAAACTCAAGGGCGAGGGGGTGCATTCGCCCCTCGATTATCTCTAACAGTCTTTGAATGTTTGCCGATTCACTGTGCAACAAATAAAGACATGGAGGGCTAAGTATAACTCATTATAACATAAGCATCATTGAATGACATTTCCATTAAGTTCAAAAACTTGCTCTCCGAAATTTCTTTGGGGAATTCCGTTCTGTTTTATGATATATGCTTTTATTTCAAAATACCATACACTATATTTTGTTTGTTTAATTTATATTTATTCAGGCTAGCTATACGTCAGTAATAAATATTGCTATCAATGTAGACCTCGAGACCGTGTGTGAGATATTCAGTAAAAGCTAAATTACATTTTGTTCACTATATATATAATATAAAATTTTCATTATGTGTAAGTTCAGTTAGCTCAAAATATGAGAAAAATATTTACAATACAGAGGTTTAAATTATTGTTTTAAAACGAAGTATATATGTTTTGTGAAGAACCGGCCCCAGAGGTTTAGTTACTTCAAAATAGCAGCTAAGTCACACTTTTACTTCACAATGGCATGCAGCTAAGTCACACTTGAAATGCAGTATACTGATTACTGAAACCAGCTAGACTATCGTTTATAAACTACAGTAATGACATGTCTATTAAAGAAATATTATCTTTCTCTCGTTCACCTTAATACGAGGAATATTAGAGTATATAAGCGCTGCAGGACCGGTAGGATGCGAGCAATATCACCTTGTTATAAGTTTGATGACGATAACATTATAAACAAGACGCCGACTCGGCGTTAACCTCGGATCGGTGGATAGGGGATCGTCTGGTAAATATCCAAAAATTGTGTAAATCACGATAGTTTAATAGTTCACTAGTATAAATGGTGAATCAGTTAATCAAAGCTCCGTTTTAATATTTTATTGACAATAATTACTGGCCCTCATCAAACCTATTGTTTTCTCTCTGCATTATATCAGCGAATGTCGAGAAGTTTTCATTTAACGTTCTACTGAAAAACGGGAGCGGCCTTTTTGGTTGTATAGGGAAATTCCGGCTCAGGGGTAATTGTTTATACGCGTCATATTCTATGTACGCGTTAAAATAGCACACAACATTATTAAAAATAATGCAGCGTGCATCAGTGCACACAGACATTATTAGCAATAATGCATCTTCGTCACCCTGACATGTACACGCGATAACGTGAACATCCCAAGATGAGAAGGTGACAGTGCTAAAGGCCCCCCATACGGTGTCGTCGGGTGCCTGAAGCACTGTTGGAAACGGTCGCTGTGAGAGTGTGAGTCTTTTCAGTTCAATTTTATAGAGAAATAGTTTCGTTTGCGCTTGTGGGATTTTATCCTAGATATACGCATGTGCAGAATACACCATAAGTTCTATTCCCGTGTTTATCCAATACGCTATTTGAGTAAACCTTATCATTGATGATAATATGTAAACTAGAACACTATAATTGACCTCCGCTTGTGGAGATTTTAATTTAGGGCGATTAATTAAACTGAAATCTGTTCTATCACAATGCACTACAGTGCCTATGGTTATGTCTATATGCATGTCCTCACAAATGTCTAGTGTAACGTTGGATAGGTTCATTTTCATACGGTCGCGACAAGCAGCAACGTACAGTAGTCTTCCAGCCGAAAATAATTACTTTTGATTCGGGTCAGTAATTATAATAGATAACAAGTGAAAGTTGGCCGCGGTATTCCCATGCTATGCATACGATGTATTGTACATTATATCAACATATACTCGAGAATAGTTGTTTAAATCAACAATTCTGACGGATTTTGTGCAAGGACAGCTTCGGGTTCCGTTTCGCTTTGGCCGATGCTTGAAATAATCCGGAAGTACACTTATTTACCGGAAGTTGTCATCTCCTCCTCAGGCTCCTTCGACTACGTGCGCGGCTCGACACAAATGAAAAACAATAAAAAAAAAAATTAAAAAAAAAATAGGAGCCGAATTTATGACCTCGGTGTCGTACCGACCCGAGGTAATAAATATAAGTGAATATAAATACGTTTCTTTGGGTAGCGGAAACTCGGAAACAAGAGGTGCAATTGCTGAATCTTTGCCCATTCATTGTGCAACAAAGCGGTAACAATGATTTTACATTCATGAAAACCTTGCTAGTCTATTATTAAAGGAAATTGCATTAAATTTAAACCAAAAATGTTTTAAGAACTGAGATTTTCAGCGACAAAAGGGTCAGTATATATGTTGCCAACCTAAATTCACACCCCAATATTTCGCACTGTACTGGGAGTAGGTAGACTTGCATGTAGGCTGCTTGCATGCAGGCTTGGTATACATCGTGGGTGTGACGCCGTAAGGGTAGAATGCCTACCACGCAGGCTAAGTATAATATGAGCTTCAAAAACTTGCTCTCTGCAATTTCGTTTTGAAAAGCGTTGCAATTTGCTTTTATTTCAAAATACCATAAGCTATTACACCATATACAACTATTGTTTGTTTGTTTAATCCATATTTATTCAAGCTAGCTACATCAGTAATAAATACTGCTATCATTAATAGACCCTGAGAATGTGTTAAAAACAAAACTACACTTTGTTCATTATACATAATATGAAATTCTCCTTATGTGTAAGTCAAGTTAAGCCCAAAATATGAGAAAAACTATTTACAATACAGTATGTATGCAGGGATTAAAATAATCGTTTTAAAACGAAGTAAATATGGAATTATTTTACAGTCTGGGAAGTTCAATGAAGTCAAGTAGATTTTTTACATCTGGGGTCGGTTGTTCCAAAGCTAGTTAACCTAAAATTCAAAGCAAAACTTCTCAAGAACTTTCAAATATTTCTTCAGAAATCTTGTGTGGACCAGCAGTTTTCTTTTCGGGAGTTTTGTAATAAACCGACGTGCAGAGATACACGAACTAAAACGGCAGATTAACTTTTAATCTAGGGTTGGCGCTAATCCAACTTTGAAGAACCGATCCCAGAGGTTTATAGTTATTTCACAATACTCAATAGCAGCTCAGTCACACTTGAAGTATACGGAAACCAAGCTATAGTTTATAAACTACAGTAATCACAGAACTTAACTTCGTGATGACACGTTTATTTAAAGAAATATTATCTTGTTCACGTCGCTCCAACTCCTGTATATAAACGCTGCAGGACCGGTAGGATGTGAGCAATACGCCTTCAACGGATACCATTCGTTTATTGGTAAATACAAACATCCAACTTCATCATTCTCTGAGTAAGTACGAATACAGAACGACAGCCTTGTTCCAAAGGATTCTCCGTATTCCATTATTTCTAAATTTGATGTAGCATAGTTGAAAGTTACTGCAGCAATACGACTCTTTACAATTATCGTTCGCTTCAACTTCCCCTCTTTAGTGTAAACGAACACTTTGTTACCTGCAATCATAACTATTTCATTCTGGTTAGTGACACTGGCACATCGGAAGAAGCCGCGTGTACCATCACTTGGATGTTTTTCAAGTGACAAGGTAGATTTCAGATTGCCGCTGTTGTCGCAGACATAAAGATCGAAGGCATCCAAAAAGTGGATTATAATATCGCCATCGTTGTTTATCACACAGTTAATCTCTTCCGCTGTCTCACATTTAAGGAAGTGTAACACACGTTCGTATTGCCTATTACCACTGGAATCGAAAACGAACAGGACGTACACACATTTCCCACTGGTACAATCTTTAAAGTATTTAATTACAAAAACCTTATCGTCACGATCGATGACTAACGCCACTCTTCTAAACACGATCAGAGGTTCAAGGTTTGCTCTAGTTGATAGAATTCGACAAAATGTTTTAGTTTCGCCTGATCCGTTCAATACATGCGCCTCATCATATAATAAAGTTAGAAGCTGCCCTTTGCTATTTATAATACAGGTATAGGAAACATCTATTTTAGATAAAATTATTTGATTTCCTGGCGGTTGAAATTCATCCTTGTCAAAAATGTCCTTCACAACATCAACATCAAGAAGTAGCGGGTGGATCGTTTCTCTGGTAGACAGGTGTATTCTGGGCCAGTTTCTGACGTTAGGTAACTCACCAGAAAACCTCGCAACAAATTCTGATATAGCAAAGTTCAAAGAGAGGACAGATTTCACGTTTTCTAATCGTGAATCTTTGTAGAATCTTGACTTTATCCCTCCTTTGAAATATGTGGAAAATGTTTCTCCGATTGGCAGATTATGAAGCTCTTCCAAGAACAACATGCAACCATCGGCCGCTACTTTTGTGTCTTGAAGACATTCCAGAATCTTCGAGACAACACGTAGTTTTACCGCCATGATTCTATCTGGCAAGCTCAAGGCTTCGTTACAGAATGCTTCTGTTGCTTTCTCGCGTGCTGCTTTGAAGCATTCTTTTGCAGAAACAAGTCGAGCATTTGACGTGTTGTTTAGCTTTTGAATGGCGTGTGAGAGAGCGATGGCTTCGTTCAGAACTCCAGACTCGCTTTCGTTTCTTGTGGTTGCTGCTGTTGTTCGACTTCCGCCATTTTGGTCACCGTTTGTGTCGTCTTTACTTGTCTGTTCGTCTTTTGCTTCATCGAGTGCGAGATTGAGTGAAACTACACCCTCTTTCAGAAAGCAATAACTTGCGAGTAAATCTTTTCGCGAGAGTGCATCGAGTTTTGCCTTGATATCGTTCAAGTCTTCGTTGATTACATCTCGCAATTTCTCATCCGTGATATCACCGTCTTTGAGCTTGTCTGTTGCTGTTGTGCGAGCTTTATTCAACACTAAACCCAAAGCAGAGCTTATAATACTTGCTATTACAGATAACATACTTGAATAAGCCTAGGAACAAAGGCGAAAGCTATATTGTGCTTGTCGAACTGTTTAGGAACTGCGTTTTGACCGCTGCACTTCGACTATATATACAGAAGTTATAAAGTAATGGTGTGTATATACTACGTCTTATTGGGATTTTCCCAGAAGAATACCTCGGGAATATACTGGGAAATGATGTAATACTGTAGCTATGGTGCTCCTGTCATATGACAGTCATACGATGTAATATAATATTGAAGAAATCTAACCCATCCAAGCTCAACCGCCAGGCGCCTGGAATCCAGTTTATTGTATTTCAATCGTTTTATCTCAATTTAGGAACACCATCAAATATTATTATAAAAATGTAATATATTAAAATTAAAATAAGATAAACGAAGAAAGATAACCTAAACATGATATATTTGAAACGTCTTTGCCAGTGTAGATAGTGTCAATCAGTGCGAAGGGCCTTCGATCGAAACGTCGAAATTCTCCTTATATATTTTCGGGTAGTTGTATCCCTACCAACGAAAGCCTGTTCATATAATTTGATCTGTTTACACTGTTAAGCTGCGGTCAAACGAGATGAGAGTTGGTAGTCACGTATTGTTACAGGGAACATTTCAAGCTCTAGATTGACAAAATAAAGGTTTGATGAATGTTCCAACTAGATTTTCTTAGTAGTAGTAGTAGTAGTTGTATTTATTAGCCACTCCCCAAAACTCCCCAAAAGGGCTTTTCAGTGAACTATTACAAGATTGAATCATTACTTCAAACTCTCATTAATAATTCATAAGCTTATTGGCAAATCATGTCAACCATAATATGTCACGTGCAGTGGCTTTAAACCTGATAAAACACTGCTAATTAGTATTCTTTATATAAAGAATACTAATAAGGCAGTATCTATTGTAGTCTTGTCCTCATTAGTATTCTTTATATAAAGATTACTAATTAGGCAGTATATCTATTGAATTTGTAGTCGTGTTTGAAGCCGTTTAATAAACTCGCAGGTCGTGTTTTATTAGGTCTAAAGCCACTCGCGCTGCGCGCTCGTGTCTTTAAACCTAATAAAACACTCCTGCTCGTTTATTAAACAGTACTTAATCATTATGGTTACTATTTTTACTAATTATTCCAGTGTGTGAACATGCTATATAATATATTAAAATGCTAAATAAGTTCTACTATATAATATTTAAAATCAGGAATCTAGAAATTTGTTCAATAAAATTGTCTTAAATTGTTTTTTTAAAAATTGACAGGTTTTCCTTTCGGATGTTATTTTCAATACTATAGTTCCACAGATTAATAGCTCTGACTAAAAAGGATCGCTGTCCTGTGCTTGTTCTACAAAGCTGTTGTTTTATCTTGCCAGATGATTGAAATCTGGTATTGTATCGGCGTGTTTGCTCACACATGTTTAGTATAATCTTGGAACACAGATATAGGACGGTGCTTGACCGTTCATACATTTATAAGTCATGATCGCGTCATTTAATACCAACTTATTAGATACTGGAAGCCATTTCAGTGCTTTCAACGTTGGAGTAATGTGTTCAAATTTCTTCTTATTGTCCACAAGAAGAAATTTGAACACATTACTCCAACGTTGAAAGCACTGAAATGGCTTCCAGTTTAATTTCAAAAGAGTACATGGGAAAGCATTAAGAACATGCAGCGAACCAAGGTCGCGCGACTTTCCGCCTCACTTGATCCAGACTTTACGATTATTATTAGGGAGGCATCAACACAAACGCCACAGATGGAGGAATATTTGTCAAGTCACTGTACCCCAATGGCCCAGCTGACCTGGATGGATGCATTCAAGTTGGACATAAAATTCTTTCAGTTAGTGTAGTTATTCTTTAAATTGACGTCAAAATAAGAAATTTCAGCACAATCTTAGCATGCGCAAACTAGCAAACTCTTTGCCAGCTTCGTGTTGACCACGCAGAAAAAACAATAAATAAGGGACGTCTGGACTCTGGAACTGACGTCCAATAAGTAACTGTTCAGTTTCCGCCATCTAATAGATGATTCCAGCTGTCAACTAAGTTTTATCTAGACAAGAAAGACGAAATATATCATTATAGCTCAAAAAGGCATCCTAAAATTAGTAAAATTGCTAAGTTTGGTTGCGAAATCTTGTAAAATACGCAAAATATTACCCTGTGAAATTAGTGAATTTTGAGTATTTTTGGTATTGCGCGAGGTAAAAATAACCACTTTCGACTCAAAAATGGTTATTTTTACCGCGCGCAATATTAAAATACTCAAAATTTGCTAAATTTCACAGCGCTATATTTTCTGTATTTTACAACATTTCGCAACCAAACTTTGCAATTTTACTAATTTTAGGATGCTCTTTTGAGCTATAATGATAGATTTCGTCTTTCTTGTCGAGATAAAAAATTAGTCGATACCTGGAATCATCTATTGGCTTCACTTTCTGAACTCGAGTTCTCGCTCCAGTTATATATGGAGGTCAGTGTTGCGCGCAAGTTGTTACAGATCTTGACACAAGTTGTAACAAGGTTGTTGTGAAGCTGATATCAGAATGTGTTCACACTGCTTGTTCCCAGTTGTTGTGACAAGTCTGAAACAAGTTGTAACAAGGTTGTTGTGAAGCTGATATCAGAATGTGTTCACACTGCTTGTTCCCAGTTGTTGTAACAAGGTTGTTGTGAAGCTGATATCAGAATGTGTTCACACTGCTTGTTCCCAGTTGTTGTAACAAGTCTGAAACAAGTTGTAACAAGGTTGTTGTGAAGCTGATATCAGAATGTGTTCACACTGCTTGTTCCCAGTTGTTGTAACAAGTGGATGGCTGTTATCACCTTGTTACAAGGTTGATGACGGTAACAGTAAATAAGTGATATAAATAAATTTCTTTGGGCAAGGAGTCGCAGAAAAGTCGTAAACAGGGGCTGCAACTGCAACCTCGTACCCAGGATCTTTCTTTGGGAAAGACCCTGGCTGCGGCTGGTCACGTGCCTCATCAAACATTTAGCGCCTGAGGGGGTGTGGGCAAAGTATCAAATTACATCAACATGCTTCCAGTGGAATATTCGTTAAAAACATAAATTTTGCGAATTATTACGTTCAAAATACTTGCTAATTTTTGTTTATTTTCTTTGCTTTGAATTTACAAGAACATTCACATTCTTACTAACAGTCAAGTCAAGAAACAAAGCAAATCGTTACTCGCAGTACGTGCTCTCTCGTGTTGCTATTCAATGCATGCTCTCTAAGTTCACAATCGAGCGCGGTTGTAACAAACCTTTTAATATGTAATGTTTTTAAAATACACCATAAATGATTACATTCGTCCTTTCTTGTAAACGTTGATACGCTTTGTACCGATTCACTTGTTACTACGAGTCTTGTTTATAAGATTTTTAAAAGAAACAGTATTGTCTAGGACTGACCCAATATTAGCAAATGTAAACATTTGATAATAGCCAAACAGAGAAATGTATATAAGTACAGAGCAAATTTCAGTCATTGGTTTATCTGGATTTAGTACATAATTCGTATTCGGTAATTATAGTAAGACTTTAGCCTTTTTTGGTCTCTATTAATCATTATATTGTGTTAACATACTATAATCTATATCACAAATTTACAGTGTCAGATGCGCACAGACCGTCATTGGCATCATACGAATAGACATAAATTTTCGAGTTTTCTAGCCTGCTTCTACTAACATTTTTAAAGTTTTCATTGTGAATCACCTGTTTATCTCTAATTCATTAATCATTTACCACATATTTATTTGATAGTGTCATATACTGAATAATGCGTTTACACACAAGCAATCCTGGATATGATATAGACGATGCAAGCTGTCCATTAAAAAATAACGGTATTCTATTTCACACAGCAAAAATTTAAATCTCACTTGTATTATTAAGAATGCATATACAGCAAAAAATTAAAGCTTATTCATGTCAAAACGAAAGCTGTTTACAAAATTTATAAAGGTGGTGAACACTACTAAACAGTGCTCATTGAAAGACATGTATAATATAGGACTCATATAGTGACATATAATTTGTCGTTTGACTTATCTTTGGTGTATGATTTTAATACCGTAGATTTTCAACAGACAGCTATACTTTGACATATACCATGATCGTTGGTTTCAGCCTTTAATGCCAAGGGCCAATTTTATAGTGTTTTGACGGGCTTTAAGTTTTTTGATAAGGCCTTTATATAGATCAACAATCTGGATACAGTTGGCGATATTTCGGAAATCAAAAGATCTCGCTATTTCGTTGCAATTCCACATCTCGTCAATAAATAAATTCTTTTCGTCCGAGTATCAGGATAGACTTTAATACTAATAAATAACAACCACACTGTTCGGTCTGGAGATATATATTTTCTTGTAGGTTTAATATTTCCACGCTGCACAAGCGGCAAGCCGCCGCAAGCGTGCTTTCTTTGGCAAGTCTACAGAAATTTGATCCAACTTGCTTGAATTGTAACTCGACACCAGATTATAGAGTAGAACGTCACGATATAAATATTAATTTAAGAGTTCTCTTTACGATTTCTTGTTGCAAATTTACAGTAAATTTGATCACCCAAAGTTGCAATTTTAAAACGCTACAAACACGCTCCTTTCCCACCCCTCTCACAGTTACAATTAAATTTACCTCCCAGAATCTGGGAGGCACGTGACCAGCCGCAGCCAGGGTCTCTCCCAGATGACAGGAGGAGAGACCCTGGGAACGAGGTTGAATATCTCACTGTGTATTTTTCAGTATCTCACTCTCTACTACCAGATGATCTTGATACGCGGAAAAGTACTGGCACTAGTTGTCAAATAGAAATCCATTTTATGATTAAAACAACTGAATATCTCCTGTAATATACTTTATTTCGATTCCATATTTTTGTCAGAGCTATAGTTCTCATAACAAACATAATTACAAAATTTCAACTAGTTTCATAAAGAATAACGAAAGATATAATTGACTGAATACATCAAAATGGATTTCTATTCGGACAACCCTTTCTGAGCGCTGATTGGCTAAAATACGAACACGAGATCACCTGGCCTATATAATAAATAGCGTTATATCCACCGGATTTTAAAACTTTCTAATATTGTCAGTTGATTGGTATAACCCAGATTAAATAGAGAATAATACATGCATGGGTGCGCGGAAATACCAGATTTATTTCGAGTGTTGAACATTATATCTCACGAGTGAGCGCAGCGAACGAGTGAGATATCATGTTCAAAACGAGAAATAAATCTGGTATTTCCAAGCACCCATGTATTTTTCTGTTTATTATATAAACAAAATTCGGTGAAAAATAATAAAACGTCCATGGCAATGCGTTTTACAACAAATGATATTTTCACACGTAAAAAAATATCGTATTTTTTACGTGTGTTTAAATACGATTTTTCTCAGTGGCCAAAAATTCTATATAACACTTATGTTTATATAATAAACTTTATTATTTATAAATTGAAGTTTCTTTTTACTGTTTGTGAGATCCATATCCGTAGTTTTATAACTTTTTGAGCATTTTTACAAGGTTAATTGTGTAAACGTTTTCTGGTTAAAAATGTTTAGTATTTGTTAGAAGCTTTCGACTGCCAATCTGCAGTCTTCGACTGGTAGATTAATAATGCGCTAGTGATATAAAAGTATGATATGAAAGTGAGTAGTGCTATATAATATACAGCTATTTCAATTAAGGTTATCTCCGAGCAAAGCGGAAAAGTCGAATACGAACGCGAAAGCTTGCTAGGAATCGCTAAATAAATCATTAATTTTTTAGCGATTCCCAGCAAGCTTTCGCGCTCGTATTCGACTTTTCCGCTTTGCTCGGGGACAACCTTAATTGAAATAGCTGTATAGCGGTAATGTAATCATAGTGCTATACAATCTACCCGTCGAAGACTGCTGACTGGCAGTCGAAAGCTTGTAACAAATAAATATTTTTAACCAGAGAACGTTTACAGAATTAACTATGAATCCTGGTTTCGCCTCCAACGTTTCCAAATTTTTACATCGGTTGAAAAAGTCACAATCCGGTGGATTGCACTATCCGGCTTTTGTATAACCGGCTCCAGAAATTTCGTAAATTTATACTTTAAACAATGGGATTTCAAAGAAGCAGTTTTAAAGTCCCCGTGGAATTTTGTTGGCATTTTTAGCCGCCCTTCAGAAAAACTCAGGGGGGCCAATAAATGGCTAACTTGTATACGACCTCTCGTGTGTTAGTAAAGCTTCCATTTTCTCTCTCCTACATAGAATTTTTGGCACGTCTTCTTCATGTACATTGATTGGCTTCGAATGACATCACAAAGTACTATTACGTTTTCTACAGTGAACTTCTTTCTGGTGCGTGAAAATTATAAATGCTCCAACGATGGCATGGTGTAGATATCTCGAATTCCCTCCAATAATTTAAAATGTTAAATGGTTTGGTGTTTTTGGTTTCACCGTTTATGGCTGGATGCTACTAGACGTATATATAATAATCCCCAATAGTAAAAGTACAACACGAATAGTTCAATAAAATATCAACAGTCTACAAAATGAAATATGGCCCTGGTGCCATGGACGTGGATGCTTCTGCGTACAAGGTCAAGAAGACCTTAAAATCGTCAACAAACTAAAATTCAATTAAACACCAACAAAGAATACCATGAACACTAAAATATTTCATCCAAATATCAATTAGAAATAGTCCTGTACGTTCCCATATATAAAGTCTAAAGACAAGTCAAGAATCTCGACGGCTGTGCTTCGGAGTACAGGAAAATCGTAGCCTCGTCAACAAACTTAACTTCTACTTGTCGACTTGTTATTTGCAATTGAACAGCCATTTCCTCTTTTGATTTTTCCTTTGGGGGTGATGTTTCAGGATTTGGTTCAATGTAATTTTCATTAATTACCTCATCACATCGTAAACGTATGTCGTCAGATTCACCGTCCCTCCTGATAGACGCCGTAGTGTCCTGTGCTGTGCGAGAGACATTTGCATCCGTTGTGGCAGATTCCTGTGAAACGTGACTTGAGTCACTCGAGTTTGACACCAGTGGTAATGTGCTGTATTTTTTTACACTGTTTTTGGACGTAGCGAAATTTTTGTCCTTGATAATTTGTTTTTGGACGTTTACACATTCGAATTCTGCCAATGTTGTACGGACATCTACAACCCGAGCCAATGGCAACTCTTCTTCATTTCCACTCTCAACCGAAGCAATCGAAGTTAACTGGTTGAATTGTCTGGTGCTTAAACTGTCAGATGGTGGTGTACCAACGTGGACATGGTGAATTACTGCTGGTAACCCTACTTCCCCATCTTCAGTCTCGCCAGAGGCAATTAAAGATAATTGGTCTAATTGTTGGGTGTTGAAACCGCCAGACGATGTTGTTTCGACTTCAACCACACGAGCTTTTAATGGCAATGCCTCTTTGTTACCTTCTTCCATTAAAATTGATTGTTTGACAAAATCTTTTCCTTTTCGTACTTTTTTCACGTTTGTAATTTCCTTCGGTGGTGACATCTCGCTGCTGGGTTTGTGGAAGGGATGAATCTTTTTGCCTTCTTTGTATTTGCCAAGTAGTATGGTGTCACTTGGAGTCGCTTGCTGTGTCTGAGAAGCAGTTGACTGTCGATGTATACAGATACGTGGGCGGCGGAGTGCTTTGGTATTTTTCGACTGAACCTGAATCCCGACAGTTTTGTGAGTGTTGGAGACGTTACAGATGGTAATTTCGTCACAGCATGGCGATGCATTGTTTTTGTCTTTTTTCTCTTGGTCCCTCACTCCAGAAGAACACGAACTCAGTTGACCACAGGATGTAATGGCGTCAGACGTTTCTGAGTTTGTTACATTTCTGCCTTTTGCCATTTGACCACAAATTGAATGTGTCTCTTCGTGACGTCTACCGTCGGTGTTGCGCGAGCCAGATTTTTTTTTATAACGAGTCGTGGACGTTTCATCTAAAGACTTAGTTAACGATCTTTTCACGGACGAATTAAGATTATTGAACATCTTCCACCGTTGTAAACTGGAGTCACTAAGAATTGTAGCAGCTTTAATCACGCTTGGTGAGAGAACAACAACTTGATCCAGATTACTCTTGACCATGCAACCTGATGAAGTTTCACCAATAGTGCTACTGGATTCCACAAGCGAGGGATTTTGAACGCCCCGAAATTCTTTTGCCTCAACATTTGGAGGGATCGCTTCTTCTTTACCCACCTTTCCGAACTTGCAAGAGAAACTGGACGAAGTTTGGACATTTTCAAAACCGAACGCCGATAATATTTTTCTCTTCCGTTCTTCTCGTGTAAGTGGAAACTTATCCAAATCGACGCATTCACTTGGCTGACTGTTAAAAGTAACAGGAGAGGAGGGGCTTTCAAATGGTCTTCCACGGTCGTGTTCGCTGTTTTTACCGGAGACTTTTGACAACGATTGAGACGCGTAATTTTGTCCTGTTGGCGGAAAATAGTCAGCTGCGTTGGGATTTTTCGAGTCTTGTTCATCAAGCCATTCACGTCTTTCACGATTAGCCTTTTGAGATATTTTAACTGAACTTAACGTTTCGTATTCCTGTGAATTGTTCAGTTCGGTTTGATTCAAACTATCGAGCTCGAGTTGCGCCGAACATTCCACTTTTGTAATTAAAGGCATGTACGAGTATGACGGCAAGGTTGGTGTTGACAAGTAGGCGGGTTGTATCTGGTGTACTCGTTGGGTCGGGTATGCGGGTTGTGTTGGGTGTGGGGGTTGTGTCGGCTGTGGGGGTTGTGTCGGGGGTGCGGGTTGTATCGGGAACACGGGTTGTGTCGGGTAAGCGGGTGTAAAATTCGCGGACGAGTTCGGATATGCTGGGGGTTCCAGATGTACGGGAGGAATGAAACACGCGAGCTTTGCCTGATATGCGGGTGGGATTGTATAAGCGGATCCCATTCCATCTGTGGTAGACATCGGTAGTTGTAATTGAACCTGACAACACAATGGGGGACTAATATCTTCCATCCTCTGCTCAAATTCCATTGCGCATGTGGGACTTGTTGAACGCGTGGATGTCGAGCACGTGGACAAAACTTCATGAAAATATTTCTTCGCAGAAACATCATCCTCTGGAGAGTCGAACTGACTGTAACCTTGGGTGTCGTAGGAAGAGTGGTTGGACAATGTGTTTATCTTGGAAGGAACTAAGAAACGGCAAGGACTTTTTTCTTCCTGTTTTATGGAGTAGGTTATGTCTTGATTAAACTTCGCGTCGTCTGACGAGATTGGAAGACGTCCTGACTTGTTAGGAGTACAAGTCCCATCCTGAATAGAGCAAGGGGATCGTTCTTCAGTTGTATAAAAACTTGGCCAAAAATTTGAGTTGTATTTGGACAAAACACTTTCCCTTTCCTGATTAGAAACCATCGACGAACCGCTTGACCAATGGACCTTTGGTGCATCTTCAGATTCATAGCTGAAAGTTTCACTGCTATCTTCGCACCTGGCTCGCTCAATTGGTACAAATAGGTGGTAATCTGTCGCCGCCACGGTAAAAGGCGATGGCGTAGCGGAGTAAGTTGGTAGTGTGTAGTAAATGGCATTCCCATCTGATGTTTTCCCGCCGATATATAGTGGCATCAAACGTTGGTGATGGTTACCGGCCATGTTCATTATCGGAGAATGAATGTTTCTAACGGTACAGTCCATATTTCTTCTTTCCATACCAGATGACACATTTTGCCGTCTTGGGAAATAGTTCAAAATATCTTGGGCAAATTTTGATTGAAAATTGGCCTCATTGCCAGTGGTGGACTGGCAACTAGTCAAGTTTGTCCATGGGTCTAAACTATCGTACTGGAAACAAGTTCGGTTTGACAGAGAGCCTGCAAAATCGGATTGGAAAGCAGTTAGATTGGCTCGCGGGTCGGCAACACTGGACTGGAAACTAGTAGCATTTGACCGAGAGTCATGTACACAGGACTGGAGCTTAGTTTCTGACCGAGATACATTGGAGTGGAAAGCAGTTAAGTTGGACTGTGAACCAGCACGATTAGTCTGCAAACCAGTTGAAACTGGACTATAAAGATTACTGGACTGTTGTACTGAGTATTCATCCTGCGATTGTATTTCTGACGTGATTCTTCGATCGTCCGTTGTGCTTTTTGGAAGGTGCAAGACAGTGGATTGGCCGTAGTGTACCATGGTGGGAAGTCCAGAGTGGAATATTTTTGGCTTTGGGATTGCGTATTGAAAGTTATGTGATCCTTGTTCTGTCGATTGGCTGGGTAAGTTTAAAGTATTATTGTCTTTCGATGTAACATTGAATAGAAAAGTAGCGTTCTCTTCTTCGCTTGTGCATGAAGTGTCATCTCTATTGTCTAGCTTCGGGCCTCCTGTAAAAGCGGTTTTTGACGTTTGAGGTTCTGCATGGGATTAGCATACTACTAACATATCCGCGTGTATTGTTTACGCGTGTATAAATTACCTTAAATCGTAGCGGGAAACCATTGAAACGTATTGTTAAAAAATTTGAATTCAGGCTTACCATCAACAACAAAAGACATTTATGAAGACAACCAAAAGGCATGTAACATTCATTTATGTCATCTTTTGCGCATTTTGGTCATAAACATTTGTCACATTATCTGCCGTAATTTGGCCTACCTACATTTGGTTTTCAACTTTAAGTAATTTTCAAATAAGTTTTTGTTGTTTGTGGATAACCTTTTTATTTCGTGTTCAAAACAGCGAAATTGCTTCGTTCTTTTAGCCATTCTCCAAACATAACCTTTTTTGCAACAAGAATCGCACTTAGGAAACAAGTATAAAGAAATCAACAACGGCGACCGATTAACATGGCGAATGGGGGGATTTTCAAAACAATGAAAAGATAACGGAACATTTCGATAACGGAATCATGGGTCGACGGCACGATTGTTATTGTAAATGTTAGTCTTTACAAAATGGGTCCATTTGGACCATTTGGTTGTGGTGGTGGTGGCAATGTTTTCGCTCTTTGTTGGTGACTGGAGATCAATCACGTTTTCTCGTCGCACAAAACTTCAGGCGATAGTGCTTAAGCTAAACCCTTTCGAATTTTAAAAGAATCAAGGAGGTCTGTTTCCGGATATTTCTTTAAGTTAACAATCTCTCGAGCGCTTTCTTAATTGGTATTAACTATAATCTGTGTTTGCCTCCGAACCCGAAAGAAAAACCCTACCTTTCACCACGACATAATCTGTAATAACTCGCAAGCTTTTTGTTCTCTTCCACTCTCTGTCTCTTCGCGGGTCATCAAATATGATGCAATATCCTCTTACTGTCCCTGAGGAGTGTATTTGTCCTGTAATACAAATTTACAATTCCTGAAACATCCTCACCTTGCACCAATACAAGGTTTATTTTCTTTCCGTGACTCATTGACTGCCTGCTTGCATGGCTTTACTTGGTGGTGGGGTGTAGTAATGGGGGTATGCACTTCCTCCTAGTCTTAGCAAAGCGGGTGGAAGAGGTGTTGGAATTCCCTTATCAAATTCAGAGTTTTAAAAGTATGGACATGCAGGTATGTGTAAGAGCAAAAATAGAGACAAAATGAGGCAACACTATGATATATATACATGAAAATTATGTATGGATTTGTTTGTATTGATATTTATGATATACTAAACTAGACGTAGTCTGTCTCCAAGTATCTGATACCAGACCTGGCTTGATCCATACCTGCATGCCTGGTTAACTGACCGACTGGGTTTAATGTTATTGCTCAGTGTCAACATTTTTACCATCTGACCAGCGACAAAAATATTATGCTTGTGATGTTACTCTGAGTGTATATCCACACCGGGCAAGCTTGAAAAATATACCTGACCACGGTGGGAATCGAACCTACGACCTTTGGAATGCTAGCCCAGAGTAACATCACAAGCATCATATTCACCCGAGTACATTACAGAAACACAGAAAAAATCATGATTATTAGATTACATTGATATTGAAGGAACTAGATTCTGTTCCGAAATATCACATACTCGAACCGACCAGACCGCGTAGCTCAGTTGGCAGAGCATTGGGCTAGCATTCCAAAGGTCGTAGGTTCGATTCCCACCGTGGTCAGGTATATTTTTCAAGCTTGCCCGGTGTGGATATATACTCAGAGTAACATCACAAACATCATATTCACCTGAGTACATTACAGAAACACAGAAAAAAAAAATGACAAAAATATTATCTTACAATCTGCTACTCCGCATTCAGTTACCTTTATACAACGCCTTTTTTCTTGCAAGTTTCACAAGTACTGGAGTGTCCTTCACAAGCTCATTTGGTAGTGCCTTTCGATCAATCACTATCTTATCTTTACAATCTAGTGGGTATTTCTTCAGACCACCCATATCAAAGGCAACATGTATTCTTTCGTCATCAATTTTGTATATAACACCTGAATAAAATGAAGCTCTCAGGTTTTCATGTGAGAATTATACTAATTATGTGTTTTGGCGCCATTTGAAACTGCACGTAATAGAGGACAGTGTCCGTTAGAGGTATTCAAATCCGACCGAATTCGATGATTTCGGAACAGAAATATACATATGGGATCGGATTGATAAAGTTGTTTCGTAGTCGGATAGGATTTCGATATTCAAAATAAAATAAATTAATTATCCACGCATAATTGCAAGAATTAATTATCCATGCATTTATCAAAGCATTATCGCGGTTGTCGCTGCATTTTTCGTTTGATACCTCAATTGGACGTTACTTTGTCAGCTTTTTGACATGTATTTCTTGTTTTTATATTAATTGGTTAAACATTACAACTTGAATGAGAAATTTATTTTGTTAAAGGATTCTTCGGATCGGAATTCTTTATCACAACTCGGATCAGACAATTTCGGATCGGATTTTAAACATTAGTCAATTGTCGGATTATAAACGTCCAATCCGATCCGATGCACATTTCTAGTGTCCGTATTAGAGACGTTTCAGTAATACAGAGGCGTCCGTATTAAATAGATGTCTGTATTGGAGAGATGTCTGTATTAGAGAGATGTCTGTATTGGCAGTGGCGTAACCAGCCGGACAATTTAGTCCCGCTATGCAAATTCAAAAATATTACCATTATTCATGTCTTTAGAAATTGATAGTTTTCACAGTCAATGAACACTAAAATATCGGGCTGGCTACGTTACTGTGTATTGGAAAGATGTCTGCATGTATGAGAGAGATGGCTGTATAAGAGAGATGGCTGTATTAGAAAGATGTCTGTATTATAGAGATGGGTGTATCAGAAAGATATTTGTATTAGAGAGATATTTGTATTAGAGAGATATTTGTATTAGAGAGATATTTGTATTAGAGAGATATTTGTATTACAGAAATGTCTGTATTAGAGAAATCCGTGTTTTTGAGAGGTGTCAGTAAGGTATCCGTAACACAGGGTGGACTGCAGTGTTTTGTTCTTTCCTGCAAATTAGAACCAAAATTGAAAATATTTTTCAATCTTAGATACAATATTAATCAGCTATCATTGAAACCATTCAAGAATCAACGTTTTTAAGAATTTATTAAGGAAAGCTCCCCATCTCCACTAGTGTGTGGCACTGACAAGCGCTTACCATTATGATATCTGAATCGATCCCATGCGGCTAATACTCGCGTTCCAACGCACAGAACGTTTTCTACAGAAAAGAATTACCTTGGTTTTTATTCCGTATTGGCCTGTACTACTACAGAAAATTATTGTTATTTAAAAACATGGAATGACATTAACCATTACACCGCAATGTGCGGTATTCGTTTTCTTACTCTAACTCTAACTGGCCGTAACTCGATTTAACTCGTAACTCGCAACGCCCGACGAGCGTTAAGGCCATTTGAGCGTTAAGGCCGTTTTCAACTAGGCGGAAATTTCCGCGCGGAGCGGTTTTGTGATTTCTCGGGTGGAACTAATTAGAAAAGACAAATTCCGCTCCGCGCAGAAAATTCCGCCTAGTGGGAAACGGTCTTTTCTCTTTAATAAGTTCACCAGGTTTTCTCTGGGTACTCCAGATTGGGATATGCCTCAAACTGACCATGCATTCTACCGTAGTTGTACTCCGTGGTCAAACGTGAGTAAATTTTGATCTAGACAAGTCTGGACAAAAATTTCATCACAGCTTGAAAGAGCATCACAAAATTAGTAATATTCCAAAGTTTCGTTGCGAAATGTTGTAAAATGCGGATAATATAGCCTTGCGAAGTTTGCCGTTTTTCAGTCATTTTGTATTACGCACGGGAAATTGACAGCCCAATCGGGAGTTGGGGCATCAATTTCCCGTTTGTAATATACAAAATGACTGAAATTTGCAAATTTCACAAGGCTATATTATCCGCATTTTACAACATTTCGCAACGAAACTTTGGAATATTACTAGACTTGTTTAGATCAAAATTTTGTCGATAATGCAAATGGTCCATTAGAAACCTTTGCCTCGATCAAGTTCAGCTGCGTCCTTTGCAATTTAGCTTAGCTCTCAGCTGCAAGAACAATCTCGTGCCCAGAGCATTGCCTGTGCGCGGGCTAAGATGG